TGCGTATTTATCCCGTTCAAAGCAATCCAGATCGTTCTCGAACACTAACGCGCTGGTCCGGCTGGTCGGTTCTAGCCGATTCTAGCTTGATGGCGTCAGCGGCAGATCGCTCACCGCAACGTTACCGCTGTTTATGTTTAATATTATGACAATTAGATTTTTTTGTGGAATTTTCGAAAGCTTCTCTGATTTTTGCAGTTTGTATTTTTTAAATTAAAATCGTGAGAGCTACCAGAATTGCCTCCGCGAGCTACCAGAATTGCCTCCGCGAGCTACCGGTAGCTCGCGATCGACAGGTTGGCGACCACTGATCTAGATTGTAGTACGCTTTTTTTGCAAGGGCATCTTTAATAATAATACATTTATTATTTACCAATATATGAAGTAATACAAAGTAATTTTTCAATTACAAAAACATCCATTCAAAGAAAAAATAACAAAAACATCTAATAAACAAAAGAAGAACCGTTAGACTCTGCAGCCAATGGGCTTGTTTCATGATTTTTTTGTTTACAGTTTATTTGGTAGTAGATTCGAATTGAAAAATAGTGTACTTTGTTTCAGCTCTCCAAATAGCGTTGTTTTCCCGTAATTAATTATTAAAAATCGGATTTTCTAGACCCGTGACGTCACGGGCCTAGTCCCGCTTCTTGTTCGATTGACCAATAGGAACAATGCAAATAATGAACTTCGCCAAGTTGTAAAATTCACGGAGCGTATAAACAGTTTCTGATTCATTCGTGATTCAAAGTAAAATCACACTCACTTCCGACAACTAAATGTAAGAAAAAAGTATAAGAAATGCATTGAAAGCGAGAATTAATTATACATGGGGTCCAAATAACACAAAACGCAATAAAAACGTTATTTTTGAAATATCTCCGGCAGTAGACATTTTCATGTTGATATCACAGAAATTTTAATAATGGAAGTATATAAACCTAATGGAAGTGTACCCGTTAACGTTTAAATTCACGAAAAAATTCTCCATATGAAATGAAATGTAGGTACTCGAAAACCATGGTTCTAAATAGAATTTAACAAGCTACATTTTTAAATGGTTCTCGAAGGCTCATGAACCCTACTAAGCTAAATCAATTAGGCATTCATGCCACCAACCAAAAATAACAATTTTTGTAAACATTCCCACTTTAAACAAATAATTTTTTAGGTTCACTAATAACTAATATTTTTAGTGCATTTGAAATACTTACGACTTTCAGAATCTTCTCCATTATGGCGAAAACTGCGTTCTTATCTTTGAGTTCATTGATAATTTCCTGGCATTTCGATAGAAGGGAATGTTCGTCATTCAACATAATCAACGATTTTTTTCCATCTAAGTTTGAGGAAATCTCGTATTTGGGTTTCCAGTTGATCAAACAGCTAGCAACGATAGTAATAACTAATTAATGAAAATTTAATACATTACTTGTATTACTGCTTATGAACTTTGTTTTTATCGGTTCGAAGGTATGGGTATTTCACAGTGATTAAATTTTATATCGTAATTATAAATTTCAAGATAGAAGGTGTGTTAAAAAAAAAGGTAAATGTTCAAATTTTGCGGGCTACATACATTCTGTTGACGATTTTTTTTGTGTGTTGGGAGCTCGTTTCGCACATATGTTAATAGTTTCAGTCGTTTAGCATGTTTATTTTGTTGGTGAGAAGCATAAACATTAGAAATGTTCTGCTATCGGAAAAAATGGATCAAATAATTTGCATCAAGTACTGAGTAAAAAATAAAATACAGTGCTCACTTGAAATGTCAGCGGTGGCATACGGTGATTGTAATCATTGTAAAGGACGGTGTTTTGCGACGATTGAGAGAGCTCAAGGACATTTATTTATTTTATTTATTTACTCTAAAAAATGAATTAAAGGAGGAAATTAACAATCCACAAGAAATTTCAAACCTTTTCGTTGAACATTTTTCATCTTCTGCCGAATTGCTCATCTCAGAGCACTTTGGTCAAAATGTATTACTTCCCTGTACCTATTCGAAGAATACTGTTAGTCAGTATCCCTTCGATACATCCCCATTCACAAAGACAGAAATTCTAGGTACTCTGGAAACAATGGCAAATAAAAACTCCGCAGGTACTGATGGTATCTCAATAGTTACTGTGAAAAAAATTGTAGACCTTATAATCGAGCCACTATTGTTTTTGATGAATCAGTCATTTTTTGTAGGTTGTTTTCCAAATGTATTTAAAACGGCTCTCATATTTCCTCTATATAAAAAAGGCGACAAAACTGAGGTAGACAACTACAGACAGATATCTTTACTTTGTTCCCTCTCTAAACTGTTTGAGAAAGTTGTTAGTAACAGAATTCTGAATTACATGGATCAAAATAATCTTTTTAGTAATAACCAATATGGCTTCAGGAAGAACAAANTACTTTATCATCAATTTCTAATATAAATACATAATATGCCCAAAAACACACCATCACTCACTACGTAGTACGTACCACACTCTATCCTGCATCAACAAAACTCAAATGCACCGCCCATGAACGAATAACGAAAAAACCATCAAATGGCGGAACTTTTAATAATTGCCTGAATACATTGACATTTAACTACATAATATGAGGTAATAAGCTTGAGGTCAGTTCAGAAGATGGTCAAAATGGTTGCCTTGAACTTCTTGACATATGAACAGCCTATCCGATATTTCACGCCGAACATTTTCGAACACAGTAACGTGAATATCTCTACAAATATTTATTATTATCTGCTGTATATCCAATATTGAAGCAGGTTCAGTTTTATATACCTTTTGCTTCAAATAGCCCCATAAACAAAGTCCAAAGGTGTCAAATATGGCGAGCGGGCTGGCCATTCTGTAGGACCTCGACGGCCAATCCAACGTCCGGGAAAAGTAGTATCCAAACAGTTTCCTACTTTTTTTTGGAGTAATGTGGTGGTGCTCCATCTTGTTGGAATACAATATCCATGTCGAATTCGTTAGGATTCGCTTCGACAATATCAGTGATGAGAGGGTCAACAGTAGTTTCCAGCATATTCAAATACAGTTCCACTGTTGAATTTTGATCAATAAATTGAGGTCCTACAATATAGTTTCCCAATATTCCTGCCCAAACGTTAATTTTTTCTGGATATTGGGTATGTGTTTCCCGGAAAACGTGAGGGTTGGTGTCACTCCAATAACGGCAATTTTGTCTGTGAACATTGTAGTTTAAAAAAATGTACATTTGTCACTAAAACAAATATTGTGGAGATAGGTAGGATGCTTTGCAATGGTTTCCGTCATGATTTCGCAGAACTCTGTTCTTCCATCAGGGTCATCTTCAGTTAATTGGTGTACCATTTTAATTTTTGATGGATGATACCTATTCCTCTTCAAAAGTTATCCCCTTGAAGGAGACACCTCACAAACATTCGCGACAGAATAAGTAGACTGTTCAGGATTGACTATTATCTCACCAAATATTTGCACTTGCTGTTCTTCCTGAATGAACGGATGACCTGGGGGGCTTTTTGTTATGTAGGTACACTACCGCTAGTTGTGAATTTGGATACAAGTTCCCTTAAATATTTTCTACAGATAGGATGATTTGGAAAACGTTCATTGAAAATCCTTTCGGTCTCGTGAAAATTACGCGTCGCACCGTAAATAAAAATCGCTTCAATTTTTTCTTTCAATGGACGATAATTGACCATTTCAGAGATTGTTGACGTGGTACCGTTCTACTAGTAAAACCGAAAACTAAATGAGAATATTCTAACTGAACAATGATGTTCATTGTCGTACTGACATTTTTTGACGTTTTTATAAACGAAAAATAACTCAACAAACCTTATCATGTTATTGAAATTGCCATATGGCAGATCAAAAGGAATATTTTTAGAAATATCGATATCAATATGTTATCTTCAGGAAATTATTAAATGTTCCGCCATTTTGTAGTAGGTGAAGATATTGACTTCATATTCTAGGGTTGTGAAGTATTCGTCAGAAGCTTCAAAATGATGTATCACAAGACCCTTCTGTCCATTTAATTTTTTTTCCCAGATGCCGCCCAGTCGCCATCTTGAAAGTTTCATCTGTCAATTTCACTTCAAAATAAAGTATTCATGCATTAATTTTATTATCCCAAATTTCAATTTTTTGAGTTGACCCGTTCAAAAAATAAAAGGGGGGGAGGGCATTGAAGAAATGCACTGTATATGTGGTGTATCAGATACACCTTTCATACCCGACATAACGTCTTTCATGAATAGATATTTCGAAAACATGCTTACATTATGATTAATAAAAAGATCACGAAAGCAATGGGAATGAGAATCAATCTCTCGCTATACCAGTATCTTTTGAAACATGTTTTAAAAAAATCAAATAAGAAAAACAGAGCATACCCCTTCAAAAATTCCTTGTAGTAATATTCAACATCGAGTCGAAAATCCTCACAGTACGTTTTTATGGTGGGCACATCGACGACATCGAGACCAATGAGCCACTTGAGTCTAGAATCTGCCTTCGCTTTGAAAAACTCGTCGTACGGGATCTTAGCACGAACGCCTTTGAGTTTACTCCACCACTTGCAAGTTATCGCTGCGTCAACCATGACGTCCCTGCCTGTTGTTTCCCCATACAAGTCTAGGAGTTTTATGCCGACAATGGAAATATCTCTCAGCTTCTTGGGCTGACGCTTGTAGGTTTTCAAATAGTGGTGGATGTATTTCAGATATGCTTTTTGAGTGGCCAGCAAAAGGTTGTACAGGAGGTTTGTGTCGACGTTCTCTGCAGACACCACCACGTGCAGGAGCTGCGGCAAACATTTTGAAACCATCACTAAACGCACCTGCTCCACAATGTTTAATTCTTTGGGACCGAGCAAAATGAAAGCGCTGCCTATAGTTTTCAGCAGACTGAATCCAGTCAGGTACTGTCCCTCTCTGCAAAACGTGTCGATTATCATAGGCAAGGAGGATATTTCATGTTGTAGTTGTTCCTAGAAACTTCAACTCAATTGACGATCTTTTTATTGGTTGTTAAAACTCACCTGCATCACTTGTGGGATGTTGCTGTTCAAGCTGGACAAATACATTCTATTTGAGCCTTTGAGTTTTTCTGAAACACGACAATAAAAATACAGGTGAAGGCTAAAATGTACCTACATTACAGTAGAACTACAATTATGCGAACTCAAACTTCTCTGGTTCTCCAATTTTTAGGATCAACTTCTGGAAGAATTTTTTTAGAGTTTTCGAATTAGTAGTAGTTGGTTTAAGCCGATTTCAGAACCTCCCCCCACCACTTTTAACCTGGAAATGACCTCTACATACGTCGCACGACGCAGCAAAAATGATTTTGAGTTCGACCTTGAACGACTTTGACCTGCGTCACACGACACGTAGACAAGGTGTTTGAGGTAGTGTTTTAGGTTTGACCTTGAATGACCTTCATTCACCACCAGAGTATCAACGGTTTACAAGGGGCTTTGATGTGTCATATACATTTAGAAAAATAATCTTTTCCATAAAACAAAAAAAGGAAATTTGCTCATTCGTTTTACTGGAGGGAAAACTGAAAAAACCAGTTTTGGATAGACAACTGAAAGACTTTTAAAAGAGGTACACAAGACTTTTCATTTGAAAGCACCAGTGACCACACCATTAATTATTTTATTGAAGTACTAAAAACAATGTCCTTTTACAAAAAAATGCTATCTTGAAATGATCTCCCATTCATTAGTTGATAAGGAAGACTTCTTACAGTATACGACAGGAACGCTTTTGTTATATAAATTCATTGTTGAATTATGGAAAATAAATGAGTAAATTGTTGAGATTTTTAATTGGAAACAGTGAAACTGTTTCAATTCATTATACTGAGTGTCCCGCAAATAAAGTAAGTAAAAAATGTAACATTTTCTTTCAAACTAGCTTACCAATGTATCCGACATACGTCTGGAAGTAATTTCGGATGGAGTTGAGCACAGTGAAGCTGGGAGCTGTCTGCTTGGGATTGAACACTTTCCCAAACAATTGCTTCTGCAAGATGCTCTCTTGGCACGTCAAGTAATAGAGACAAGGTGATGGACTGTGGCAAAAAGTATATTGGTCATACTCAGCGAGCTATTCAAATTCCTTTCAAAGAACTCGCTGCACATGCAATTCGGAAAACCAGAAAAGTCTAGGGTTGCCTTAGAGAACGGCCATAAAATAAATGAACATTGTTCAACATTGTTGAGATTGGTACACGACACTAGACTTTTGGAAGCTTTTGAAGGTCTATAGATAAATGTGGCGTTTCTATTCCAATCACTCTGTCACTCAATAAATCTCTATGTAAGACAGACAAAATGTGTAACCTGGTAGATGTAAATAGGGAAAGTTGGTTGGTGAAAAGCATGTCGGAAAGACGCGTAGTTCTGGTGTGTTTGTACTTGGTTGCATACATGACTTTTCATAGTGGAATAATTGTTTTATTTATCACTAAACGCATGAAATATATATTCAAAGTATTGATCATCAGACGCTTCAACTTATTCGACTCTTCTGATGACAGATCTGGACGGATAAAAGGTCAAAGTCACATTTATAAATCAACAACATATTTTTCATGATACCTAATGTTCTATTCACTAACCTTCTTTTACATTTTCAGCAATTTCCTCAATTAAATCGTCCAAAATAGAGAGTTTTCTTGAGGAACTCATCAAGTCATTAGTGGTTAATGATCGTTGAAAAAATTTATTAATTTTATATACGCCCCTTATTTTGCAAAAACTCTCTTCCAATTTCTTTCTTTCAATTCCGTCCTGACAAGATTTCAGGAGTCTATCGAACAGCATCGAGAGTGCTTTGTAGTAGTTGTCTTTAAGTTCCTGTTTACAAAACTGGAAAAGAAAATAGATCATGAGCTTTAATGCAGTTATGAAGAAAAACAGCTATCAGAAGAAATTTAGTGCTGATGAAGTAGAGGAAGAAACAAAGAAAATTAAAAATGTAACTAAAAAAAAATGAATAACAAAAAATGACAGTAAACAAGGGGAAAGGGAAACAGAAGAAATGAATATTAACGAAAATAAAGGAAACACAAATAGCAGTCAATAATATCTCATGAAAGAAATAAGGAATTAAGAATGCAAATTGCGGAAGTTTGAGGAAAACTGAAAGGAAAAAAATAACGATTATATATTAGAAATTAGTTAAATTAGAAAGACAGCAACAGCACTGCAAAAGATGAAAAGATTATCAAGTTCAAAAAAGAAACAACGACAAAAAAACATGAAAAATAAGAATAATTGTAATAAACCGTTGAAGTGTTACAATTTCTTATTAAAGTTATGTTCAAAAATATTTAGCAATGTATTATCTAACAATTCTTTTAAAAAAGCAGTCTCTCTCTCTCTCTAAGTTCTTGACTTTTGCTTCTGTATGGCGCAAAAAAAAACAATCTATATGTCCCAGCAATAATCTAAGGTGATAGGTAGATAATAACTATACAGAATGATCAATGTTCATGCCCAATAATAGAGAAAGAATAATAAAATTCTGTTTAAAAAAACAGTTGGTTATTATTTACTTTTCAATGGAAAAAAAAAAGCTTGGGGTAATTAGAGAGAGAAATCATGAGGTTGGAGTGAATTGGTGTAAAAATAAAAAAAAATATCCAATTTAGCTGCACACTTTTCAACTTAACCACCCCACAAAAATGAAGAAATCAATGAATTTACACCAGATTTCGTGAAAAAGATATTGAAGGATGTAGGAAAGACATCAGAATCACATCAAGAACAAACAATGTGACAAAAAAGCGGTAGATATGAGGTTCAAATATTGCGAAAACGCTTTTGATGGAATTAAAAAAAATTATGGAATACTTTGAGAAGCATAAATTGTGAAAAAAGGGGATATTGAAGAACGCAAGGACTGCAGCAGAATCACACTAACAAGATCCAATGTGACAGAAGCCAGACTACTAGGTAATAAACAAAAAACTTTACATGACTCTTGAAGTTCCAAAAAGAGCTTTCCACAAAAAACTAAAAAACACACGCTTCAAGAGATGAGCATGTAGGAGATACCTTATTATTTATCGTTATTTCAGCAGACAACACAAGTGTTTTGGTACAAGCATATATTTCGTTCCTCCCATTTTTATCCAGAACGGTCATCGCTTCATCTAAGTTCCTGAAAAAAAGAGTTATAGATAAATTGTAAAAGTGTTATTATTGGCAAAATCGAAACTCAGGAAAATATTTTCAGCATCAGATGAATGAAGTAATATCTGACAGGTGTTTTATAAAGGAGGACGTTCCTCAAGGATCGTGTTTGGGTCTAATTTTATATTTACAAATATATTTGTTAAATTGAATTGTTGTGTAGGTATACAGTACAGCCAGAGGAAACAGTGCCTTTATTAGCGAATAAAAACCCAATCACAACTGATTTATGACCACCAGAGGAGGCCGGTGTTATTTTTTTTTCAGGGGATAATTTGCATTTCATCTTGGAAAACGTTTTCTCACACAAGTAAGTAGTACCAAAAACAGAAAACAACCCACGAGCAAATTTATGCAATATTGTTCCCATAGAAGACTCTTATAAAATTCCAAAAAAGATGAATTTTGATATTTGTTCTTAAGCATATCACTGCAACGTAAATCAATAATTTCCATTTGTACGTCCGGAGCCAGGGTTTCAATGTCAAAATCAGAAGGATTTTGAAAAATCTTAATTTCATTCGCAATGACATCAAAATCTGAAAAACGAATATCAAAATTTATCATCAAAGCACTCAAAGTTTCGATTGCAAAATTTATGGGAAATTCAGTCTCTGTAGTGTGGCTGAATATTTCACATGTTTCAAATAAGTGAAACATTTTTTACGTAATTGCGATTGAAATAGTATTATTTTCTGCCTGAAGGATTTGATATTGGAGTATAAATCAGGGAGAAGCCGATTTTCTCCTTGCAATCTCAAATTCAGTTCGTTCATATGATTTGTCAAATCGACATAGAAGGCTAACTTCCACATCCATTCACTATTTTTTAAATCGGCAAAAGGGCAATGCTTCTCATTTAAAAAAATTTCGATTTCTGCTCGAAGTTCAAAAAAGCGCTTAAGGACTTTTCCGCAACTAAGCCAGCGTACAGCAGTATGATATGGTAAATCAGTTTCTCCAATCTGTTGAACAAACTCGCGAAATTGTCGGTGTTTACAACTGATATGACAGGTTTTAGAACTTCAGACATATCCAAACATTTTCCACACAAGGACTGTTGATGAATGATACAATGTAAGACTAATGGTTTTGAACCACCATCATTTTCTACAGCCTTTGACACAAGTGCAACCACTCCTTTGTTTTTACCATACTTATTTTTGCCTCCATCAGTTGTTATAGATTTCAAATTTCTCCATTGAAGGTTCTTTTCATTAATGACATTTTCAACTCCCTTAAAAATATCTGCCCCAATTGTCGTGCCGTGAATACTATCAATATCAAGAAGTTCTTCATACACTTCATAGCTTTTATCTACTCCGCGAATAAAAATCAACAGCTGAGCAGTATCTGACTCATCCAATGCTAAAGAAAACCAATCATGATGTCCATTTTTGTCAGACAGTTGAGATGATACATTTTCTGCGATGTCTTGCCCCCTCCGAGCCACGGTATTTGCTGACAAACTGACACTTTTAAATAAATTTACCTTTTCGGGACATATTTCTTCGGCTACTGCAATCAAGCATTCTTTTATCATTTCTCCATCGGTGAATGGTTTGCCGCGTTTTCCGATTTGGAAAGCCACACGAAAGCTGGCGCGAGTTGCAGACTCTTGTTCAGTATTCGCTTTGGTAAACAAAGATTGCTGCGATTTGAGTCCGCGTTTCAAAGCTTCAAATTTTTCCTTCCGCAAACTTCCTGTATACTTGGAGTAACTTTGAAGATGTTTCGATTCATAGTGTCGTTTAATGTTATAGTCTTTGAGAACAGTTATGGTTTCATTACAAATTAAACATTGCGCCTTATTACTGGACTCAATCACAAAATATTGAAAGTTCCATTTTTCTTGGAACGTTCTGCATTCACTGTCGATTTTTCGCTTCTTTTCCATACAAACAAATCACACAAAAAAACAATAAGTCAAATGAAAATACTTTTATTGACGGGTGTTACTTTATTTCACAATAGACAGTTTCGCTTCCTTCGCCTTTCCTACGCAGACTAATTCGCAGTTGCGCCGCTAGCATTTTTATATGCAATTATTACTGCCATCTAGCGGTGATCGGAATACACTACCTAGAACCAGAACTTTCTCGAACCAACGCGGTAATTCCTAATATTTAATTACGCCTAATGCCACCTAGTGGGTAGCTGAAAAAGATAGTACATAACACCACTACTCGCCACTAGATGTCGTTAAGTGTCACAATACACAATAATAATTGAAATGCAAAAAAAAGCGTAAGATTGCTTAGATCACACACTTTGCGACTATCCTAGTCTAGAAATATAGTTGAGGGCAGAAATTGGCCCTTGGAACAAACTGAAAAAATCATTATGGCCCGAAGGCTTCAAAGTTTGGAGACCCCTGATACAAATGAAAGTTACCTTTGTTAGTAAGCGAGAAATTGAAGAATCAAACGCCCAGTGAACCATATTTCTCGTTATTACTATATAACAGTACATGGTTTGCTCTGGAAATGAATGAAAAAACGTTCTCCTGCTGAATATATCAGCGAAACTGAAGTTAAATGATGAAAACAGTCTACAGACATACCTTGTTAAAATGAAATGCTCTATCAATATAAAATTAGCTCTGCATCTGTCTTCAGCACTTTTACACAAGTGATAAACATCTTCGACGAGAGTAGGCTCATTTGCATATATTATTTTCCTGATTATATACTCCAACTGTAAAAAAATAGTTATAGTTAGGCATCTTTACAAAATGCACTGTTTGGAACCTTTGGTGCAATAATAAATATCAGTACTGGTCATTATTACAAAAAAAAAAGAAAAAACAAATTATACCTCTCGGTAATTGTTAATCTGCCTCTCTTTTATCTTATACTTCGGATTCCTCATCACTATCAACCTCTGTTCGTTCTTCAAAATCGTTTCTACATCCTGAACGAGGGGGTGAGAATGCTGCAGAGCGTCTAGCGCAATTTTTCTAACAATGTCGCACCAAGGGACTTGGGAACTATTATTATTAATATTCAGTAATTTCTCTTTGAATATCTAAAACAAACCTTGATTTCATCCAGGAAAATCTCGTCGGGGTCAAAGTTATTCTGAAGCATGTAATTGTACAGAAACTGCTCTAAAAAGTCATCATAATCTTCTGGAGTCATGTTGCTAGTCAGCAGAGTGTGGATCAAATACTCAGGGCCCTGAAAATATTAAACATGAACGCAAACTCATTCGAGGTTATTACCAAACTCGGATGAGATTATTACTAGCCTCAAAATAATCTGATAGATTGACGTCAATTCTAAACTGTTTCTTCAATCGTAGCAGAATTTTCAGTGCGTCGATGAGCTTGCTGAGATCTTCGATGCTCCTTTTGTTCAACGTGCATTGCCTTTGAAATGACAAACTGTTTTTCTCGACTTTGAGAAGCTTCAACACGTTCTCTGCCAGAGTTATTCCGCTCTGCGGGAAATTCAGTTTGTCCCTTTTTTCCAAGAAGAAAATCTTTCCGTACAACCATTTCACGAAAATGGACAAACACGTCGGCAGGTGTGTTATCGTTATAGGAATAAACGTCGGTAAAAACGGTTGATAAACGTTCATTGGTAGCTGTGATGGAACAAAAAATAATTAAAGTTACTTTTGAAACAGTTAATAATGGGTTGAGTAACTGAAAATACATACATCATTTAGAATAGCCAAAATTTCTTGAACGTAATCTTCGGTGAGGTCATCTATCGACTTCTGGTCCATCCGGCTATATATGAGGATCGCTTCTTCAATTTCATACTGAAAAATAGACATTTGAACAAAAAATTGGCAGCAGATTACACGAATTTCACCTACGTTTTTCAAGTACACCTTCAACTCTTCAATCATGTTACAAGTCGAAAACTTATACCACGACTGTATATCGTCTTCGGGCTTCAAAATGGCTGTGAATGTATCGAAGCGGAACAACAAGTCTGTCAATACTCGTTTCATATTCTGAGAGGTACCCTGAAATCAATATACACCAATAAACGTTTCAAAAAAAATAATTGAAGGTACACTCACATCATTCTTCACAGATATTTTGGCTCCATATGTCAATATTTTTCGCACGTCGTCAAATTTACCACAGTCAACATTCGAACAACACTGCAACTTGAAGTACTCATCATGTATCGAATCCATGAGCTTTATCAAATTGCTGATATCTTGAGAGGTACATTCTGATTTATCAACTATAAGCTGGGCTCTCGCTTTCAGTATCACCACAGGGTTGATGTTGAAGGACTTGGCAAATTTTTCGGCCTCCTCAAATCGCTGTCTCCTAATTAGCCTGGTCAGTCTCAACTCTGGTTCAGTTTCGTAAACACTCTGCAAGCGCAGTTCCAAAATGACGTCGTTTTTCATTACTTTCGAAATAAAAAGCAAATCATCTGTTGCAGAGTTTACCGGTATCAGGTAGACGGGGTGGGTGATTTTCAGGGAGAAGATTTGTGAGAAATCTAAAACAATGAAGTAGAGTTACATCGGACAATACTTGTTGCTATTTTTCTTTGAGCAATTTTAATGAATCCAAATATTTTGTTCTATCTGCTTCACTTATTCAGATAAACAAGCATAGTTAAGATGAAGAAAGCGATTGAATCAAGTATTTCAGGTCCCTCTTGGTTTTAGACTGAAATATTCTAATAACACCTACAGGGGTCTCCTGAAGATGCTCACTTAGTAAGCAAAACTTGCAGGGAGAAAAAGTATTTTTGTTCTGGTGTGAAATAGTGTTTTCAGTACCTATAGTGTGTTACATGAATAGCTGTTTAGAACTAGTTCTTTTGTTAAGATGAATAGTCTGTAATTTCAAACTTTGTTTGTGTAATATAATTCTGGTAAAGAACATTTCTTGTATACTTTTTTATTTGATCCATGGATTTTACTTTGAACAGAGTAGAATGTTCAGTTCCTAAGCAAAAACTAATGCTCCTGAGTTGAATTGGTGGCATGATAGTACATGAAATTTGCTCCAAATATCACCATAACAAAACAAATGTTAATAATGAATGATTTGTTTAAAAAACGCAAATTAGGAAAAATAACAAATGTTAACAATTTCATGGAAATCAGTCAGGTTGTTTCTGTGACATGAGAATTTTATATATTAGATATATAACTCTGACTATGAGGGTATGTAAAAGAAAAATCATATGTAATAGTATGCACAACCTATTCATTTAATACTTTTAAATTGATCTCGGAATTTTAGACCAGTGTAGATTTTATAATTTCTTCAGGAATAGTGTTATATACATAATTTCGTCATGTTACAACAATTCCCAAAAATTAGATTAAAAATTGCAACAATCTTGTTTGTCTGAACATAAGTGATTCCCACAAAATTCATGTTCAAATTTTTTCATTCATTTGTTATTCAAAGAATGAAACAACTTTTTTTTGTTTCTATAGTGCTTCAAATCTAATAAATGATTTGCTTTATACATTATATTCCATATCAGAGAAACAATGTCCAAACTAAATGGCAAAATATACCAACTGAAATGCCTAAGAAGAGTTCTACTTGTCCATACTAAAAAAAAATGTATTATGCTGAAATTCAGTCACGAGTCACATATGGAATCTTATTATGGGGTTCATCATCAGCAGCTCAGAAATTATTTGTACTGCAGAAAAAATGCCTTAGAACTTTATTGAATAAAAGTCAGAGAGAATCATGCAGACTATTATTTGCCAATCTGAAAATACTTCCTCGCCTGTATATTCTAGAAATATCTTGCAACATTTTTAAGAATGAAAAAAGCATTAGCACCCATAGTAGATTTAACCACCATCTAGAAACACCTCAAAATAATTTTGAATGTAACTCACAGGGGACCTATCTCCGATGGCGTAAGAATTTACAATAAGCTCCCGGAATCAATTAAAAAGGAAACTACTGACTTCAAATTCAGAAAGTATCCCAAAACTTTTCTGTTGTCGAAAATGTTTTATAATATTGAAAAATGTTATTCCAGCTAATTGCATACTTTCATTCGATAATATATTTAAATTCACTTACTCAATTTTTAAAATTGTTAGTTTCAAATGTGAAATGTCTACCAATAAGAAATTTGTGATGTGTTTTATATTACTTTCACTGTAATCTGTAAAACCAATGGATGAATTGAATTGAATATTTACCATAGGTTCCAAGTATGATGAATTATGTATCAATTTAATAAGTTAATTAAAGATTTTACTGTGGATTTTTTAGTGATTCTCAAATAAAAATAAGACAATGGAGGTGTGAGTCTATTGGACTGAAATATATGAAGGGTGATACTTTTTTTTATCAATAGCAATATGGTTCATCCTCTAAAATTTTTCATAAATATATTATCCTAGGAATGAAATTGGTACAACTCATTAAATAATTATTAATAATAAAAAGGTTGGTGTAACTGTTCAATAATATTGTATTAAAGTATTTTCTTTAGAAGTTTTCATATAGATGATGCCAATGAGTTAATATATATTAAAAAAGGGAAGGACGAAAAATTGATTATTGTGGTACCCCAATTTTTTTTTATGGAACTCTTTTGATTTTCCAAGCAAACATGTTATTGTATATCACTTATATAATTCACAAATCGACTAAGGATAATCCCTCTAAGTCAAAACTTGTTCAATTTTGAGATCAATGTATCATGATGTACAGTATCAAATGCTTTATACAAATCTAAAGACAAGAAGTTAACATTTGTCGTTTTGTCAGTTTGTTAGAATTTTCAAAATGGCATCGATTGCTGCTGCCTCTGTATCTATAAACTTGCCGAAACCATACTGAACACTACATAAAAAAAAGTATTATTTTCCAAATCTTACCGTCCAAGAGAAAACATAGTTTTCACTTCGTGAGAGTTGTCAGACAAAACTAATTGAGTCTCAGTGTTGACAACACTGAATTCAGCACCATTTGTCAGAAGGATGGGATAACTAAATGATGCTGACGTTATGTGAGTATTCAAATTGAGAAGTTCCTCAAATCTTGTTTCAAAAGTATTTTCACTCTGGTCAACGGGCTTTGTGCTTACAGAAACCCTGAATATTGCTCCAGTACCTTGAACTATTATAAAAGTGGTAACCTTGGAGCACTGAGTTTCAAAAAAACCCTCTATATAAATTGTAGGTGCCTCAGTGGTACTTGGAAGACATCTATAAAAAAAGGAAAGCTAGATTACAATCGAAAAACTTAGTTTATCTCACTTTGTGAATACTGAAAAAATCTCTCCTCTGTCTTTCACATGGAAAATGTTGACAACACCGCTCTCCAAACATATCAACATGAAATTGTTATCAGGAGATACAGTGATAGAAACAATACTTGAATCAAATGCAGCTGTAAATAAGAGGTTGGATAGTTTCGTATCATCAAATATCTTCAAGGATTTGTCTGTTGCCAAGACGAGCTGGCCATTTTCTATCAGGCAGTTTATTGTCACACTGGGAACTCCCTAAAATTGAGTAAATATTAGAAGAAAATCACGTGATAAATATAAATTATTCACGTACACTTTCATCTTCATAAGATTTGAAGCAACCAATAGTGGATATTTCATACAAACTACCAAGTCCAATACTTCTGGTACCAAAATTTATAGTTTCATCAGCACTGCTGAAGCCAGTTTCAATTATTTCAAAATCTCCCATACTCCTGAAAAAATTATTAACTATGGCTTTGAAATTTTTCGAGAATTACAGAAATCCGATGAAGTATATATGCTACCACAACACAAAAATCCAAAGTAATAACTTTTGTCAAGCAATCTCATCTTGGAGTTCACCCCGTTATAATATCTATAATAGACTCACTTTTAGTCTATTTTATTATATTATTTGTCATCTCGACATCTCTCGATAGACTGTTATATAGAATCACAAGTATTACTACACCTTTTATCACATTGGCTATCAATTCAGTCTACTTGATCAAGAAAAAAATTTCAGCTAGGACCAGTGAAGTCAATTTGACCGAGAAATTCCTCACGACCAGAGTGCCGCATTGTTCAATATGACCAAGACACTTTATCATATCTTTCACGCCAACTATTCTGTTTGCCATGCATTTACTACCCTCCTATTAAGTTTTCTCACATCGATGTCTTTGTGAGACTTCCGATGGATATCTTCATATCATTTTCTCCAAAATGTGTCCTGATATTTCTATTCTTTACAAGTAACTTGGTTGAATGGAACCTATATTGTGTACCCGTTATCTTAAGAATTCCATATTAGAGGATTCCAGTCCTATTTCATTAGACCCATGTTTTTATTAGCGAAATACTGTGTAACTCAAGTTCATTTTTTTTTAATTGTATATGTCTATCACAAAATATTCCAGAGAACCTATTTCATAAAAAAAATATTTTTTATATGTCCTGTTTGACTTTCATTTTCATCTGTTTAGTTAGTTTCAATGTTTTTCAATAGAAGAAATATCCTTCACTGCAATTCTTTTGATTCAACTATCAACTTCAATATATAATTCCATATAAAATGAATGTGTTTATTGCTCAGAGCAGTAATTGCTCCGAGGAATAACGAAAAATGAAATAGCAGAGGAATCAAAATTGTTAGTAAAAAACACACCTGAGTGATTCTGTGTCAACTGATCACTGTTTTTTAATTATAAAGTGTATGCTATTATTTCTTAAAGTCCTCACACAATGAATATAAACAAACAATACTTTGAAGATTTGAAAATTCAATTTTCAACTGACATCTTCTTCTTTCATCCTTCAATCGAGTGACTATGGCTTACGGGACAATCAGACTTGTTTCAACTCCTCATTTCATCAATCTATATTGCCGGAAGGTGCGGTACAAACATCTAGGATAAAAAACAATTGTCACATTTTGTAGTAAAATTGCTACGAAATAAACAACTGTTATTTCAACTTTTCACCCCGGAGGAGGTTGAATCATTTCTGGGGGGAGAGAAAAAATCAAAATACACTTTTCACAAATTGAATGCATGAGAATGTGAAACAAAAAAATGTTACTGCATTTTTCCCTTCCGTTGTATACGTGTATGTGTCTTAATGCAATAGAAGTTTTCAAATAACAAAAAGATTATATATACTGTGAGTAGAAATCATGACCACGTATGTAGCTCCTCCTAGAGTCAGAGAGGGTCATGTTTTCCTCTGAATAATTAAGTGTTTTTCAAAACCGATACCGAAGGCAAAAAATGAAAGGAGTCTTAAAAACGGTATAACTGAAATAAAAAAAGATGCTACTCACAAAATATGTATATCAAAAAATATCTACATGTGAAAACACAGAAGAACATGCAAAACAGTTATTTAAAAAAAACTGTACATCAGGCAGGAGAAATCAAAATAATACAATCTGGTATCATTTTTCATTTTCTCTGGGCAGGGAATTCAAAAACTCTTCCGAATCTAGCCACCTCGAAGGAGAATAAAGATTCCTCACTTTTTCTTGTCGAAGTGAGGTAAATTGAGGTTGTGGCTTCTCACTTTCTCCAACTGAAAACAAAATTATATACAGATTTTCACAAATAAAAAAATTCTTAGGTACGTTATACTGTAGATATTGAAAAAAAAATACTTGCTGATAAAACTTTTACTGGGCTTCATCCAGTTTCTTGCCAAAGGTTTTATTAAATTTTTTGGTAATGGTATTTTAAAATGTACAGTAGAATCGTTCAAATATTTCGACACGTTCTCAGATAAATCCATATTGTCGTGTTTTCTCCAATTACGATCTGTAAGTGGAAGTATAATAATATCTTGTGAATATCTGAATGATATGATATTACCATCTCCTTTCGTCAAACATGTTTCCATCTTGTCAGACGATTTTTCAGTTCTTTTCAATTTATTACTAGGACCATCCCTAGATATATTTTCTTTGGGTTTGGTTCCTGATTTTTTACTTGATTTTTTATGAATATTCTTTTTTCTTGAAGGTTCACCACTCAAAAAGACACAGTCGGCTGTAAATTGTCAAAAATCATTATTTACCTTTTGAAATATCAGTTCATAACGATATGGACTGGCCATGACGTGACTTTTACATATATTCAACACACGACGTTTCGGCCACTGCACCATTTAACAAATCAAATCCCAAAATATTTACAAACATCGTTGTATCTGACGTTGTGTATGAGTGACGTAAATGCCAAGACGTGAACCTGTCTTTGTTTAGATATTGGAGTTATGGTATCTCTTCAAAGGCCAGTCCATATTTTGACGTCACTGGTTCATTATAATTTGAGGTTATGTCATTTATCATTGAGCAGGTGCACTTTGATGTATTATTGGTGCTCAAAGTAATGAAGTAAAAATGAAAAATGGAAAGTTAATTCACTTAAAATCCACTTTTATGAAAAGACATTAAAATCTGTTTAATTTTTTCTGAGATATTTGGGTATGTAAAAATGATACAGGGGATGTTGTTTAGATGATTTTTTTCCAGTTTTTAATTGTTAAAGAGCTATAATAGAAGACATGATCTATAGGATAACAAAAAGTTAAACCATGTTCATCCAAAATGAAAAGAGATCCCCGAATAGTCAGTAGAGCTAAGTTACAGTGGTTTCTGATTTATTTACCACTCAACTATTTCTTTATTAATCTGAGGTGTCACCAGAAATTGTCCTAAATTCAATTTCTTCTAACTTATAATTTTTATCCTGAAATAAAAAATTATGCCAGTCAAACCTAGCATAACAGTCACAAATTTGAAGAAGCAGTTACGATTAAGTTCTGAAATGAAAATCAATTTTTCTGGTCTCGAGTAGAAATTGGGATACAACTATTTTTCAATGAGCTGATCTTCAAACTCATCCAAGTACAACCATTTACTTACTTTTGTATTTTTTCTTTGGTTTACATTTCTCTCTCAAAGACCGTCTCATCAAACTCTCATCAAAATCATGTCTTCTTTTTTTTCTGTTTTTTTCCAATTTCTTTTCGATCTTTTTTGGCGGTGACTCTTCGCCTACTATGGGATCACTTGGAGTCAATTTATCGCTAATGTCATTTCTTGAAACCAGATTTTCATTCTGTGGGCAATTACCGCTACTGAAAAGAGGATAAAACCATTTTCTTCATCTTAAAAGTCCACTTAAAATTCATTATTAATATAGTGCTGGACAAATCAAAATCGTGTTTTGGCAAATGCAGGTTACAAATTTCAAAAGCTTATTGGATCATCCTAAAACAGAGAAATTCAGGAAGACAGGATACATTAAAAAACAATGGATATCTCTGAATGATTTTTTATTGTCAATGTTGCTAAAAAAAGTATCTTCATCTTAAAAGTCCACTTAAAATTCATTATTAATATAGTGCTGGACAAATCAAAATCGTATTTTGGCAAATGCAGGTTACAAATTTCAAAAGCATATTGGATCATCCTAAAACAGAGAAATTCAGGAAGACAGGATACATTAAAAAACAACGGATATCTCTGAATGATTTTTTATTGTCAATGTTGCTAAAAAAAGTATCCAAACTTTTCCTGACTTATCGATTAAATAGTTATTTCACATATTCTGCGACAAATGCATTGACGAACATTAATTCTCAACTTCTGTCTGATTGGAGTGATTCCGACTTTTCTTTGAATAATTGATATCGTTCTCAAGAACCGCTTTGTGCCTATCTTGAAGGTTTTTAATTTTTGCAAGCCGCAATTTAGTATTCATAAAAATAAATCCAACTCCAAAGTCGTTAACCAACTGATAAAAAATATGGTCAAAGGAATTTATCAGGTTTTCGTCGAATGATGATGCTAAATTGTTGAGGGAGATTGAGTTTTCTGTTGTTAGAAAACATAAGGGACATGTCATCCCCTTTTCCCGCTCATTCTTGTCTAGTGTTGAATCATGAATGTCTGATTTTTGAGCTCTTATTCTGATTATTTCTATTTATTACTATTAATGTGATTGAGAACTTACCTTGATGGAAGAAAGTCTGGAGAACTTGCATCAACGGTTATACTTGCTACAGGACACGTATCTTTTACATAGTGTTGATTCACAAAAATATTGTCAACATCAGACATTTCATCAGGATGTTTATCAATTTCATGAGGCATTTCACTTTGAATTTTTCTGCAAACATGAACAAGCTCGTTTAGGTATTTCTTAAAAACTGGAAATCTAGTTGGGACATCTGAAAATTGATTGACAGTGACAAAAATTATGTTAACATTTGATTTAATTCTCATTTTGCCCTCCCACGGATCTTTTGATCTTACCAGGATTTAATATGGAACAAGTTTTGATCAATGCAAAGAGAGAATTGTCTATGGAAATGTCACACTGGATTCCAGTCTCGCGGTTTCTGGGAGTTTTCGGAGTACTTGTGTATTTGTTGAAAATTCGTAACATATAATCTCTTTCTTCTTCGGAGTCTGAAAAAACTGGTTCTTCATCGAGATAAAGCATACTAGAAGTAACTCTCCGTTTTTTGGAGGAAGAATTACTACTTGCTGGCCTCTTATTGTCTGAAGTGTTTTTGAGCAGGACATTCTGATGTACTACTATATTTGTTTCAGTTTGAACAGACATTGTTCATTCAAAAGAGAAATGTACACCCGTAAATATACTTTTTCTATGGGTAAAGTTCGATAATTCAAAATATTCAGACGTTACGATTATATGGGTCTCCATGACACATTTTCTCATAGATACATAGATATTTTAAATTTTACACACTGGACAATACCTTTTGTATCCACTAGCCAATATGAAGATCCGATCTTCATATCTGTTAGAGAATATACCAATAGATATAATCAGAAATATTTGAATACCTGTAACAACGATTCTTTGATGTTTTCCTAGAGTTTGACGTTCAAATTGAGAAAGGTAGAGGTCGCCCACTTATAATAAATTCTCAAGTTGGCAATTCGTTCATTTCGTTACAATCAATAATTGCATTATCTGACAAATCCTCTCTCCTTTTCTTTCGTAGATTGTCAACGAAATTTGCCATTAATATTTGTCACGGGCATTTTCGTGGAATTTATATTGTAAAAGGCATGATCTACAATAAGTGTTGCGAAAAATTGTTAGAATCAGTTGATTGACACAGGACGGACGTGTTTTTCACACAATTGTCTTTCCAAAAACTCAAGATTCCACCTAAAAACTATATACAACCCAGAGGGTGGCTGCCGAAGGTAAGGATTCCATTTTAAACTACAGTAAAATCATATGTGTGCCACTTGTGCGTGATTTATTTATGGCATTTGGTATTTATCAGTTCTGAAACCGTGAACTTTGGACGGATTGATGATTCATATTTATTGCCCATATAATTACGTGTTTTTTTATGCCATGGCGATTGTTCCATTCAATTTATCTTTCGATTTATTGTGCATTGTATAATACGAATTCGTCTCTCAGTTGGTGAATACTTTAATATTGCTCCCACATAACTGTTGGAAAAAACAAAGTCATGGATCTTATAGTCCCCTTGTTAGTATTGAAGATATTAACAGCCTTCATCCTCACTTCACGGGATTAAACTGTTTACATTCCTTGTCAAATGATAAATTTTGTTGTACCTACTGGGAACATTGACCTGGTTTATGAAAATGATAATCTTTGGCAGGCTCAGGGAAAGATCAAGGAAAAATGAGTTTGGTCATATAATTTAGAACTTTATCATCAGGGTTATCTCAATATGATGCAATATCCATATTGTTTGTTGGAAGTATTCATCACTTTCAAACCAATCAATTTTTGGGAAAAATATTTTTGACTGCTTCATTTCTCTTTATTTATAAAGGGTGATAAGACTCACGTGCTGTTGTACAGCGATAACGAATATGAAGTCAAAACTTTGATATACTTTGGAATAATAACAGTAAATTCATTCAGAAACACTATACATATTAATAAATGTAAACTCGGAAGGGTTTTTCCTGAATAGTAGATGATTTTACTTGTCTTTTGTGAGCAATATGGCCAATCATAGTATCCCTGGATCAACTGTAGTACAAGATTTTATAAATTTTTGGAAAATTATTGTATGCAAAATAGTTACGACGTTTATAAAAAATTGAAACAAAATATTGTGCAAGTTACAGAATATTTATAGTATGAATAATGAAGTACTTTAAGATGATGTTAGAAGTGTTTACAAAAGCTCTGACTTTTATATACAAAATTTAACGAAATTGAACATTTAAAATTTGCTGAACCTGTTCAATAACACAGACCTTTAGTTTCTTTCTTTCTCAGCATAGACTGTTTACTGTAGTAGAACACGTTGAAAATATTATTAACATTTTACATATTTTAAGCAGTCTAACAATCGATTTCGAGTTCGTTTTTATATATTGCTGTATGAAAAAAAACTTATACAATTTGGAAACGATTTAAAATATACTTGAAAATCTTTTAGAAACAAAAAATACTCACGAGACCTGTTGTACATATCTGTATATATTAGAATCTATAAATATTAGAAATTTTGTTTCAAATATGAAAGAGTTGTTTTAGAAAATATCTTGGCATGTCGCCGAAAAACATATTTGTGCAAAAATATTCTCCAAATCAATACATTTTGTAAAAACTCATGCAAAAACATAAGCTCACTTATTTATTTGTAAACAAAGAAACAAACCTGAGATTAAATAATGAATAAACGAAAATAATCTTATCAGTTTGTTTATAATTCTTCGTTTTGAGGTTAATGAATTCCTATCCAGCAATTCTGTGGATTGAGATTTTGACTAGAAAAAGTAACCATTCTTAAGCTTTCCTGAAAACAGAGATAGGTCAAGACCATTGCGAAATTCGATATCTTCATTCAAAATTGCATTCATAAATCACTTTCTTTGCAGTAAAAGTAAAAGGTACTGTTCATAGTCAAAGTTAATGTTGGAAGTAAAAATTACTGATTCATAGTAAAAGTTACCGTTTTTCTTATTTACTCATTTATATGGAATAAACTTATTCACAGTAATAGTTACAGTTCGCCTTCAAAGTTAATGTTCAAAGTGAAAGTTACTGTTCGCGGTGAAAGTTACTGCTCTCCTCATTTACTTATTTATATGAAAAAAAAACTTCATGGTAAAAGGTAATGTTCAAAGTAAAAGTACCTGATTCACAGTGAAAGTAAAAGGTACTGTGCACAATCAATATTAATGTTCAAAGTAAAATGTACTGCTTCACAAATATATCAGGAAGAGTTACTGCTTACAAACAGAAATGTTTTTTCAACTTTGAGTACTAGAACACAAATTTGTGTAATTTCAGCTAACTGCTCCAATTTATGTGTTCATAGATTGTTAAGATAAGTTTATCACATAACTCCAGACAATTTTCTGCATGAGATTGAGCATGATTCTAAGATATGTATGGCTAATCAAATTAAGACTATCTATCTGACCTCTTAGGTTTGATTAACAAATAGGAAAATGAGAAAACACATTTTTTTGGACCACTGCCTAAGCTCTGGATATACAAGCTCAACATTTTTATACATATTTTAACAGTTGATTCAGGGATGGTGTGACATATGTAGTTGGGAAGAATATTTGAAATAACATCATTATATTTGATTACCTCTTTGATGTCTTGTTTGATTTGAAAAGAAATCTTCACTTAATCAATTCAAAACTGGGAAATCCCAAACTGATACTTCTCAACTCTGTATGGGTCATGTAATACACGAATTGACAGGAATTTTGCTTGAAAGCAAAGAATTCGAAGTAAAATCATCTATTCCTTTCAGGTCCTTGAATTGTAGACAGTCTCGTTGAAATGGGTAAGAAAGTTAAGAATGAAAAGAATCAAGTTGTTCCAAAATGGCGCCCGCAAAATAAAGATACCTTTCCTGAAAAAACTAAAAAAAACATACAAAAACCCCAGCTCATAAAACACGAAAACAATCGCAGTGACGCAAGTAGTAGCGGTTTCAAAAAATTTTTCATCAGGCGATCTGAAGCAAGGAACAAAAACCTCAGGAAGGTTCCCGTCATGACATCTGAAAACCAGCAAGAACAGCAGCCTTCAGCCGAGAGTCGAAGTGAAGCCACCAAGAAACCGTTTGATAAAAAAAAGTACAGGCTGAAGAAGTACAGTAAAAAATACAAACTTGATCAGTGGGAAGAGAGAAGGAAAGCTGCCATCTCTCGAGAGTACTACAAACAAATAAAAAACGATGGCCCTGCAATCGATGTCTCTAAAATCTACAACGATCCTCGCAACCGGGATTCCGACGACGAACACCGAGTACTAGAAGAGAATGAGAACAATCTCAATGCAGGTATTGTGGAAGAGGAGTCCCCTTTTGTCGAGAATCCTCCCAGAAGAAAGCTGAAGCCTTTTGAAAGAGCCCAGCAAGAATTCCAAAGACTGAAGGATGAAAAGCAGAGAAAAGTGGAGGAGTTTCTCAGGAAGAAGGCGGAGAAAGAGGCAGCCCTAAAGAAGTACCGTAAAGAGAAGGCGGAGAAGTTTAAGAAACTCTCGAGAAGGACCAAGAAGGGACAGCCTATCATGAATGACAGGATGGAAATGTTGTTGGAAAAAATCCAGAATAGTTTGAAGTGAATAGTGGTTGTGAGTGTGATACGTTCACTTTGAGGTGGCCTCTTCTTGTTTTGTTTCAAGGTTTTTGAATTGTTTCTTGTGAAAGATATATAATCCAACGTATTGTCTTCATATTGAATGTTGCGTCAATAATATTTATTGTTTGTAGTGCTCTGTGAATACTTTTGAATTGAAATATTGGTTTTAATTCAATATTTCCTCCATATGCTAGGAGACATTTCCATTTGGTCTGTCAATATGTCAATATATTTGGTAATAGCACATTCATTTAGAATGTAAATTGCAATTAGTATTCATAATAGACCAGTCATGATAGACCTTAATTTTGGAAAATTTAATTTTTTTTTAATAGAAGGTACTGGAAATCGATATGAAATTAATTTTGGCGTTATTGAGTGGAGCCCATTCAAAATGGAAGCACTTTTATAAAACACACATTTTTTCATTAGATAGACTTCCAGAAATCTACTAAAACTCAAATTTCACAGAAAAATGTATACTTAACTACATTTTTCAAACTATCTTATAATAATGAACATATTTGGATGAAATTTTAAATAGCGATAAACCAAAACCTAACTTTATACACTATCAATCAATCAAGGTATACTTTATTGTCAGATGATTCACATCTTATTGACTTAGTCTAAGAAACTATAAATGTATTGGCGAAAATTTGTTCACAAAGATACAATACGAAAATTAGGAATGGTTATGATTAGATAAAAGTATCAATAGAATAAAAAAGTATATGCAAAATAAATATNCGAATAAGGTGAACTTCCCAGAAATATTAAGCTGGGTGAATTGAATTGTTTTACCAAACAATTTGAGAAATATGCAGAACTTGAAACATTTCAGACGATAAACCAATTCATGGGTTCTCCAAATTCCCCGCCTCCAAAATAGTAGAAAATATGTATAATTTTTGAAAAGTATTCATTATTTTAAAGACGTTTCATTATCTTTCTTCACCATTACTATTATGTGTGTCCTGTGTATGTACCTGTATATGTCTATAAATAAACGTTTGTATGTAGCTTGTTGTTTAACATCTCACGCTCAAGGTTCACCTTTTGTGAGTAAACTTAATTTATTTGCAACACATTAGTTTTAATAACATTGTTGTATAACTTGTGCGAATAAATAAATAACTATAGAAAAAAAATCTGGTTACATAACTATAGTATCTTTCATTAAGCGCTTCCTATCTTTGAATTCAAATAAAACAAAAGTCTGTGAGACATGGAAATTTTTTATTTGTCAACACCTGTGACTTGAGAAAACCCCACACGAAGAAGTCTCACAGGGACAAATCGCACCTTTTCGGTTTTGCCAATTCACATCACCTACACGTGAGATTACCATGCCCTTAAATCGCTCGTGCAGAATATCCGATGTGGCATGAGCTGTGTGGTACATAGCGCCGTCCTGTTGAAACCACATGTTGTTGGTGTTCAGATCATCCAATTCGGGCCAAAAGAATAGTCCGGTCAATTTAGACCTGAAAACAGTAATGAAATAACGAAAAAGGTTTTTGAGTTTTTCTCGAAAACCGTAAGTTTTATCAAAAAAATACCTCAGACCAAAGTTGTAGATCTCAAAATTCTCTACAACAATGGTCCTTATGTTTTTTTCTGTAAGTATCCCCGTTCCTGAGATACCGCAATTGTAAAAGTCACGTTCTATGTAATACGCACATGTTTCCACACCACTCTGCGCGTTTTATTGTCAAACACACAAGATTGAATATCTTCTCGAACGATCGCTGCCGCAGCTTTCAAAATTTTCCTCTGTTTTTCTTTTTCATCCAAGTTTTTATTATTAGACCAGGCTTAGACCAGGCTTGACTTTAAATGTCTTGGTAATAAAAATAAATGTTAATTTCCCGGGTCTCTCTGTAATAATAATTCTACTACCATATTTCAACTTCAATCGTACTTTTAGATTCGGTTATCTAAAGCTACATTTTTACAAACATTCTTTATTCATCTAACGTAAACTGGCAGTCGTTACTATTTTCCAAAAATTCATAAATTTCCTCCATCGCAGAGTTTACAGCCTCACTTTGTGGACGCCCAATTTTACCGCCAGTATTAGGTCTTAGAAAATACTTGTAACAACTATCATGGTATTTAGCATTAGCAGCTACTAAATCATATTCAAAATTAATACGATCAACGACAGCTTTTGATAAGTCATCAGAACTATCTTTAGCTAATTTCAAAATAGATTCTTTAAATTTGAGTGTAGAAACTTTGTGAATTTTTTTTCGAAGACTGCGGTTTCTTTTTCTCAGCCTATTCATCTGCGTCATCGCCACAAAATAAGCAGTTTTCTTTAAAACTAAAGCTGGATTCACTTACTCGTGCTCTAGTACGAGGTGGACTTACTTTTGAAATACTGGCCTGTTCATCTTCACGTTGTCTTTTTGCTGTGGCAATTGAAGTTTTCCGGGTGTATGATTTTCGGCAATCCACGTGGATTGTAACGGACTTTAGACCTCTTAAATATTCAGTAAACTCATCACTTGCATCGATTAAAGTTTGCATTCCACGATTAACCACGACAGTTCCACCTTCAGTCAAAAGCTTAGAGCAAATAAAGCAAAATTGCGACTTTTTTTCAAATATTAATCACTAAAAACTCTTATAGTAGACGCTTGTAATAAATACGTATATTCGAAGAGAACGTTTAACACTAAAAGAAGCAGGCACATGAACGACGCCACATGGACAATAGAATAGGTAACCAGATGTTATATTCAAGGCCATACGAGTAGAGGGGATTTTTACTTGCTTAAGTACTTGAATGTGTATATACGTGGCTAATGTGTGCATATTACATAGAACGTGACTTTTACAATTGATCTCAGGAACGGTGATACTTACAGGAAAAATCGTAAGGACCATTTTTGCAGAGAATTTTGAGATCTACAACTTTGGTCTGAGGTATCTTTTTGATAAAACTCACGGTTTTCGAGAAAAACTCAAAAAACCTGAAATTTTGACCTTTAACCACGAATAACTTTTGAAGCGCTCATGGGACATATTGGGACTTTCAAATTTTAATTTTTTATGGTACAGTAAAGGTCTTCACCAAAATTTAGCTCTGTCGCACTTTTCTTAATTCAATATTGTATAATGACCGGACTAGAAGTTGGTAATCATCGATCTATAGTGCTCGTCGTTGACAGTGATGGCCTGGCAAACGTCGTTCTCAAAGAAATATGGACCGATAACGTCACCACCCCGAAATCCACCCCATGTGGATTTGTATCGTCCCAAATTCGACAATTTTATTTCTTCGCTGATCCATTCATCCAGAAATGGGTCTAATCGCTAAAGATGATTTTTCGTTGAAAATTAGGGTCGGTTTCCAACTGATCTAGAGCCCATTCGATGTCTTTGGTCGTTTACCTTTAGTTCCTGGGTCACTGGGAGTTCTTATGAGCGAGGCGACATCGACTGCCTTGGATTCTCTTGCATACTCTCACAGACAGCGGCGATGTTTTCGGCAGATCTTGCGTTTCGTCGACCTACGGGTGTTGGTCGATCGTTTACTAAACCAGTGGACTCAAATTTTTCCACCACATTGCTAATAGTCCTCTCGATAGGACGATTATGGTGACCGTAAAATGAGCGATGCGCGCGGTACGTTGTTCAAACAGAACACCCATTTTGATAAAACAATTTTCATATTTGCACGTGTTGTTTTCCCAAACCACCTTCCCTGGTGGTTTGGGAAAACATTCTGAATAAATGACAACTAATTTGACAGATGTTGCTTCAACAAGATGGCCGTTATCAATTGTCAAAGTTCGGAAGTCTGTTGGAAGACCCTTTATTTATGTTCTATGCGGTAAAAATTAAAATTCTCATAAATGTGCTCAGATAAGTCATTTCTTTTTTCTAAAATTGATTTGAGAATAGAGTTCGGTCGTTGGTTATGAAAATTTGCATGATTCGACATGTCTACTGTTTCCGGTTTCATAAAATCTATTCAATTAAATGAATATTAAGTACTAATTATGTGTATCTACAGCTATATCTCCACGTGTAACAAAATTTATCAAAATGTGATAAGACCGTTGGATAAGAGCGTTGTTAAAAGTCGTTAGAACGCAAACTGGCAAGAAATGTACTTCTGAAATTTATCTCCTTGTTATTATAATTCGATATCCAGTTCATCGTCATTATCATTAAAGTCATTATCTCGGACAAGGCTAAAGGTCGTCACAAACTGATAGGAATTGTAGAAATTAAGGTGGGGAGAAGTATAAATTTGCGGAACGGTCACATTTTTGCTCCTACTTGGATTCAGTTTCCGTGGTCCGACTTAGCTGTGGATAATCTCGTGCGGAAGCCTAGCTTTTTTGTGATCTTGTTCCGTCCTTTCTTGATACAAGTGATTTAGATGACCCGCGGGTTGTTTGAACAATTTAACTAAAGGATCTTTCATGTGTTTATGTTCATCAGAAACGTCGTTGGGAGCCCTAATTGTTCAGGTAATGCTTTGCACAATATAAATCTATGTTTTCGGTTCAAAACTTCAGTTTTGAAACTTTAGTCCAGTCAAATTTGACCAAATTATACCCATACTCGCTTATTGGAAAAAGGAAAACAGTTTTTAATTTTACTAGTGCGGACTTCCATTGTCTAATATGATTCGAAATATATGAAAGAACAAATGAAATCAAAATGAATAGCTGAAATATCAATTATATTAAGCAATAAAACGTAAAATAAAAATACAATAAAACGATCAAAATAATCAAGATGAAAGATGAAAATGAACAAAAGACTACTTCACGACGTTTCGATTGTTAGTATCCACACTCGTCTTCGGGTGATGACTGGACTATTTCGCCGAGAGATGTCTATTTATAGGTCATTCGAGCTCAAGCATCTATTCCCTCTCTACGTTTCACCGGTTCAGCGGAAGTTGACCTTTTTTTCACGCTCGATTACAGGTTTTCATATTTTGCGTATCTCTACGCTAGCTTGGCTGAATGCGTCGTTGACCATATATGGAGCTTCTTTGAACTTCCTCTTGAACCACTGGATCTCGGCTTAGGACCACTTGATGTTATGTTTCCGGATCTGAAGCAGGTTCTGATGTTATACTTGGACCCAATTCTTCTTATCATTTCCGACAATCATTTGACGTGAATTGGTAAAAGTTTAAATTCCTAAATATTTTCTTAAAAACTAAGCAAACTCACTACGACAGGTTGTTTAACAATGTTTCCGTAGATGACGCCGTAGTGCCGCCATATTGATTTTGGTGAACATGGCTCTTATACCGCCATTTTGAATAAAAATCACCTGATCGGGTAAAAACTAATTGTTATTTACGAATGATGAACAGACCCTTGCGGTACACCTGATATTACTTTGATGTAGATATCACACCACAATATCATTGATATCATTGATATATAACTATTCAACCATTTCAAATCAACATGTCGTTAGAATTGATTGTCAGGATTAGAATAATTATTTATATATTGCCAAGTTTCAAGACATCGACAGAGACTGAGACAAAGACTGATGCAAGGACTATGATGTCTGAATCGGTCCCAAACTCTAAATTTGCAAAAATAAATAACATCCAATTCCGTCCTTTCTTCCCATTTCCTTCTATTAAAAAACTCGAAATACTTCAGCTATTTTTTTAATTCCAGGTTTGTGAGCTAATTTTACTGCACTAATTGGAATCATTTTCAAAATTTGGGTAGTTGTCATGACCCCAGCGATAACTTTTCTCCGGTTCATTTGATGTTGATAATTGTTGTTTTGTCTTTCTATTGCCACTAAGATTGGTATAATTTATGTAAAATAAAAATCGTCATTTATTTTTGAACGAATTGAAAAGAGGAAATCGATGTGACTATTTGAAGTAACATCAACATTTTCGAATTGAAGAGGTTATATTTTTAGGAGTGATTTCTTTGATTACTTCTTTCCTTTCTTTGGAAGATTCCCTAATCTTTTTTTTTGTATCAAGATAGAGTAGTAGAAAGCCACCAATTTTCTTTCCCAAAAATCAACTTTTTCATTTTGAATAAATGATTATTCCAAATTCAATGAACCGTTATGTTAGTAGTTTTGCTGAAGAATTTATGCTCTGATGAATAATTGTTGTGTACTTGACAAAGTGAATCATTTTTGAAAAATCGATATTTACCGAATAATTAGCATACACGTGATAGTATTTACAATTCATTCAAATATGGAAAGTTTCATTAAAAATATACGTTCCGCAATGTAAAAAAATGCTGTTTTCATTTCTATTCCATCTCAAATTCGAGAACTAGAAAGAAACATTTCGGAACATACAACAATATATTGACCGATATGAAGAAGAATCTGTTATGTTTTTTGATAGCTATTTAAGTGGTCGAAAGCAACGAATTGTACTCAATACTAGGGTTTCTCAAACAAGAGAACTGACATGTGGGGTTCCACAGGGATCCATTTTGGGACCAATTCTCTATGTAATTTTCACAGCGTTTTTCAAAAATGTTGTCTCGCTTTGTTATCTACAAATGTATGCGGAGTTTGTGTTACTATCAACAACATTCCTGTACAGTTTTGTGATGTGGTAAAGAATCTTGGGCTCTGGATAGATTACTCCTTACGATTCCACTCTTAAGGCCGCGTTATGTCGATGGATATAGGCCGAGACCGCATATGCTGGACATGCTGATAGCAAGTGCATTAGGGTCTCCGGCGCCTCGCGGCAGGCCCTGCACCTTGTGTCAGGAACCTCTATACCCATCACGCGACTGCGGTAGACTAAGATGTTGAAGACACCATCCTGGCAAACGATGATGAAACCCTCAGTTTCCGACTTCAGCCCACTCGACCTGAGAAAAGCGAACGTCAGGCGCTTTGATAAGCCAAGGTCTCCCAATGTTATTGAAGAAGACCCCATGCATTGGCTTATCCTTGTGTCTCCGCAGAAGTAAAGTTGTCTCTGCGGCTTTTATCTGAGCTTTTTGCTGAACGGGTTCCAACTCGGTGACAGAGTTGTGGTCACCTCGTTCAGAGTCGAAAACTATACCGAGTTCATCAGCTGCTCGAACAGCTGCCCTAAGGAGAAATGCTCCAATTCCTGCTCTCTCATGGTCACGGACCATGCAGAGAAGGGGATCCGAACTCCTGACGACTTTACAGGCTGTATCCAGTACCATTCTGTCATGTAGACACTCCAAACTCAAAAGTCCACGGCCTCCCTGTTGTCGAGGGAAGTACAACCGTGGAACGGACGATTTGGGATGCAAACTCCTATAGAGATGCATCATGGGTCTTCACGTCGAGTAGAGTAAAATTGGAACGGCAAGCATATTTGTTGCAGCAACTTTGTTCTTCCCCGACAGTTCCGATGACCAGATCTGTCGAAGTTTGTGCTGATACTAGCCGCGGAGAGAGTTTTTCACTGCTGTTGCCTCTTGTGAGTGGCGTTGTTCCACCCGGAGGTAAGTATACGTCTCTCCGGCATCCAGATGGTGTAGGATGCTTCCATCTACGAGCTGCACATCCTCTCCGTAGTCTCCGCATTTGTCTATCCCGAATTTCATACCGATAGCATGCGTGTACTCTTCCACCATCCTCAAAGAATGATGGAGATCCTTCTCTCCAGAGGCATAAAGTTTAAGATCATCCATATAAAACAGATGGGTGACCTTGTGCCTCCGGTTTCCGGGGGTGCCACAGTTATACCCTCGAGTATTTCTGAGCGCAACGGATAATGGCAATAGTGAGATGCAAAAGAGAAGGGAACTGAGGGAATCACCCTGAAATACACCCCCTCTGAAATTATTTACTATTATTATTATTTGTATTCAAGAAACACTTCATTGTTTTTAATAAATTCGCTTAAATTATTATTTGTTCTGTAAGCCACGTTAGTAAATAAATAAATAAACTCCGAACTATTCGATTAGATACTTAGTTAATATTATGGGTGTCGCACCTATTTGCCAACATGTCCAAAACGATCTAGCTATTTTCTGAAATTCAATTTCTGTTATAGAGTGATGACTTTTTTATTTTCTAGGGTCGTGTTGTGTGTGAAGCTAACCCAGATACTAGTAGCCTTCTACTTCCATACAATTGGAAAATCTTCCTGAACGGCGAACCACCGTGGGGTTGCTAGCATCATCTAGGATATAATAAACAACCTTTAAACAAATAAACCTGTGCGAACCTGAGCACAGGCTGCCTCGTGAGTATAATTCAATGACGGATCATTATTTCCAATAAAACAGCCAATTACATTAGTAATGAATGTTCTCTCTGATATTTATCCTTTTTTTTTTCTTTCAGCTTGCTTATTTCACTTTAACTTTTTAATTGTATTTAACGAATCCACCTCTAACACCGAACAAAAATGAGGATCTCGAACGAAGAAGACAGAGTTCACATCTTGGACGACAAATCGAACGTGTTGTCCGTAATCAGGAACATCGTCGCCAACAACAATCAAGAGGAGGCGTTCTACGTTTGCGATGTTGGCGACATTGTTCGCAAACACAAGATCTGGAGCGCCAAACTGCCTAGGGTTCAACCACACTACGGTAATTTTCTTGAACTATTTCATTTTATGTATATCTAACAATCTTTCTATGAGGTGTCCCTACATGATTTCCAACTAGAGACGATATTTTTTTTCATATAGCATCGGAGAATGGGGAATGTTCCTCAATTTTGGTTATTACAGCAAATGCAAGTTTGAACAAAATAAAGTTGAGTTTAATTCATGAGTTTTTCAAATTCACTTTGAAAAGTATTCAAATTGATGTTTCAAATGTTGGGTTTTAATTTATTAAGGGATTTGTTCCTAATTCACATGTTGGCAACAGCGCCTATATCAAGTTGAAATAATTTATACGTACCTAGATATTCTACTTTAAAAAAGGAAAATTATCTTTATAAATCAACAATTAAGGCAAAATATAAATTATAGTTCAATACCACCTCCACAAGCCACATAAACAACAGTTGTTTTGTTATTTATTTATATAGAGGAAGATAGGTTAGGTGCACAAAATGTCATATGTCACAGAATGTCTCGGAACTCGGAACATAAGTAAACAGAACAGCACGCCTCTGAAATATGTCATCTTTGTTTGTCTCATACAGGTAACAGATTCATTGTCCTTTATTAGCTATAACCGATGTTGCCAAATGGTGAAATAGAAACGAATCCCTTTAAATGTTGAATTCATTATTTCATTCCTCTTTTTTAAGTATTCAAATAATTTTTTAAAGAAAAAGTTTGAAATGATAATAATTAGTATTATTTTTTTGAACTTTCTTGGCTTAATTGAAAATTGATATAGTATTTTAAACTAACCTCTTAACCTAAATGGATTAAGAGGGTTCCCTTTTATGTTTTCACGAATAACCATTATATATGATATTAGGACGTTCGCAAAGTTTACCTTTTATCATTCTATTATCAGCAACAGCTTACAAATTGACTGCATAGTTCGTTAACAGTGAGTTTTTGAAATAAGCAAGTGTGTATTGAAAACAATGTTTCCTCGCTAGAACAGAATACTGTCTCTCGACACGGTTTCACTAACTAATTTAGCATCAATCATCTGATGTTGCTGGTACAAAATTTTTTTCTCCTATATTTTGTAAAACTTCAAAGATGACGCATAAAACGATAATTAGGTTTACTTTTCTTCAACGGAGCTTCTCTTCGACACTTCCCAATAGTATTCCTTGTTGTTTGAACTTATTCCATTATTACAGCTGTAAAATGCAACGATGGCCTCATCGTGTTGGAAACTCTCAACTCACTCGGCGTCAGTTTTGACTGCGCCTCTAAAGGGGAAATCAACAAAGTGCTCGACTTGGGTGTGGATCCCAACCGCATCATCTATGCCAATCCGGCGAAACAGGCCAGCCACATCAGGCATGCAGAAGCTACAGGAGTCTCTAAGATGACTTTCGATAATGAAACGGAGCTGTTCAAGGTCAAGAAGCTGTTTCCCGATGCGAGGTGAGTCCAAGACAGTCTATTGATTCGTTAGGGATGTTGAAAATTGTTTTGAGAAATAGTGTACCCCAAAAGATTTGATTTTCGATGCAGCAGATACTTTGAAAGTAATGTATTTTAAATTCCGTTTCAAATTACGCCCCAAAACGCTAATAATATTGGCTTCTTACTCAAATGTGAACGGATAAGGAACTATAAAGTTTTTTTTTTCAATGTATCCAATGAAAGATGAGTTCTCATTTTTATAACAATTGTGCAGTACGCAAGTACTACAAATAAAGTTTCCGAAAAATTGTTTATGCTTCTCATATGGAACACATAGCGTTTGAAACTATTTATTTTTGATTGAGTTTTTATTCCACTTTATATTTGACATCTGTCAGAAACTTTTGTGCATGATATTTTTGACACAGTTACTCAGAACATATTATTAGATGTCTTGTAGAGCTCTGGCCCAAATGGTCACTCCTACAATTTATTTCAGAATTGTAGATATTAAATTGGAAAAGAGAATTTTTTTATACAAATGAAAAATCCGGCCAAGATCATTATTTGAAATTATGATCATTGATATACATGAAAATCAGTTTTTATCATTCAATTTGTACGCCAAACATTTGTAACGGTTTTGAAAAAGATATCATATAAACAAACGCTACACCTTTCTAAACTTCAAAATAGACAAAATTTTCATCACAACCTCCATTTAATAATAATAATAATTGTCTTTATTGTTTACAACTGATAAGGTTCAACAGTTAATGAACAGTATGGACAAAAATATGAATAAGTTGGAAACAAAAGGCGAAGTTCAATTTTTATAACGATAAATCGTTATTAATTGCTCTTCCACTTAACCTCAAAAAGTCGCTACGGTGTTAAAAGAGCATTATTATAAAATAATCCGTTCTACTGTAATCAAGGCATGGTATGATAAGAATAATAATAAAATAGATCACTGAGTTACAAATAAATATTTCTTAAATCTAATTTGAAATTGCTGAAGCCCACTATTTTTGATTATTTCAAGAATATTATTATAGATTACGCAAACTTGATAACTGAAACAGCGTCTGAAAAGTTCAAGTTCAAAATTGGGAGCTGTTAATAAACCTTTATTTCTAACATTGAGGTTGTGAGTAATTTTTCTATGCAGATATGTTGGGGTTCTGGTCAGTATGACTTTATGGAAGAGTCCTGCAGAATGAAGAACTCTTCTATTACTCATATTCAACCAGCCAACAGTTTTAAGTTTGTGTGAAATTCTTTGACGTCTCCTTATGCCGTAGGTCAACCTCAAGCAAGAATTTTGAACTTTTTTTACTGAAAAAGGAAATGCTAGGGGCGCAAAAACTTCAAAGTAATATTAGAAATGTCTGAATATTTCTTGCTCATGTCAAACTGCCAACAAGTTTTATAATAAAGACCGTTATTATCATTATCCAATTACAGAATGGTTATCCGTATCCGTTGTGATGCCGAGGAAGCCCAATGTCAGCTGGGCAACAAGTTCGGGTGCGATCCCGATACCGAGGCTCCCGAGCTTCTCCGAATCGCCAAATCGTTGGGCATTGACGTCATCGGCGTCAGTTTCCACGTCGGTTCTGGGTGCCGCGAACCGCCGGTGTTCCGTAGGGCGATATCGGCGTCCAGAAAAATTTTTGATTTCGCCGAAACTTTGGGATACCAGTTTTCTCTGCTAGACCTGGGCGGAGGATTTCCCGGAGATAAGGAAACGTCGATTGATGAGGTGAGTCAACGTTTGTTTTTTGCCCAGTTACGAAATATTATAATACAACTTCATTAATAAGGGATCTTAATGTACAGAAGAGTCGTGTTGAACAGACAATGACATAATATTTATCAAAAGTGCATTTTATACCTTCGACTCTATAAGTACAGATTGTCAAATCTAGGAAGATCCAATGGCTGGGCTTGTTATTTATTCTTCATTTGAAAGGTTGGGATCCACCATTAATAGTAAGGGTACTCCGATTCCAAAAGTTGTAAAGGATCCTACCGACTGCGCCAATTTTCGTATGTCATTTAAAAAACTTTTACCTTGAAAAAGTGAAACGATTGATACTTTTGCTTTTTTTAACGTTTCTATACTTTCAGGTCTTTAAAACTACTCAAATAGTTTTCGCAGGTGTACTCTTTTGTTGCCCCAATTGTAAATGGTTGTATGAATGCTTTATTATTATCATTATAGATAGCGGACGTCATTAACGTCGCTCTGGACGACTTCTTCTCTGATCTGGAAGTCCAAGTGATAGCTGAACCCGGCCGCTTCTACGTCAGTTCAGCCTACACGCTGGCCTGCAACATCCATTCGATCCGCAATGTCACCCAAATCGACGAGGAAACCGGAGAGTTGGCAATTCACCGCATGTATTACATCAACGACGGCGTCTATGGCAGCTTCAACTGCATCCTATATGATCACCAGGTATGTATATACACTCAAAAGAAGAGAACCTCTATTGACGTGTTCCGTGCCAACGGACTTTTACGGGTTTTGTCCTTCAGAACAAATGAAAAATCCAAAAATGTCACATAGTATAATCATAATTTTCCATTAGTGTAAATACTACTAACATCTATAATTAAAAACTCCACTGAACCTTATTTCAATTTGATGAACTAGAGAGTAAATAATTTTTTTGAGCACCACTGAACTGTCCCTAACCATTGTCCAGTTATTAATATTCAAAATAGTATAGTCGCCATTTTGTCTTCCGCCATTTGATATCCGTATCATGGCAATGCATATAAAACATGAATCATCTTCTATGTGAATCCGCCACATTGAATTTGGAGTGAGGTCATTTCATTTTCCGTCTTTTCCTCCAAAAAACTTTCTCATTTAATACATATATGTATGGAGGTGCATAAAAAATTAGTCCACCATCTTGGACGGTCTGCCATATTGAAATTAAAGTGACTTCACATTATTTTTTTCAACTTCTTCTGCAGAATCTTCCATTCGATACCAATATCATGAGGCTGCATAAAAACTAATTCGCCATTATCATAAGCATTGAGTTTAGAGTGACGTCATGTTATTTTTCGATTTATAATCTAGGTGGTCAATCCTGTACCGCTGAAGGAACATCCCGGCTCCAAGTACTACCGCAGCAGCGTTTGGGGGCCGACTTGTGATGGACTCGACCAGGTTGTGGAGCAGGTTATGCTGCCTGAGATGAAGGTGGGTGACTGGATGGTGTTCGAGAATATGGGTGCTTATACATTGCCGGTGGCGAGTCCATTCAACGGGTTCCCCATTCCGAAGGTGCAGATCGTCATGGATGAAAGCATTTGGTGAGTTTCTGAGTTTCATGATATTTTTTTCATTATTACGGATAATCTTGATGCTTCATTAGTTCAACTGATAGAATTGCACCAACACAAACATTCAAAACACTTTTGAATTTTTCTTCATATCTTGTAATGACAGGGGAAGCAAAAGTGTACCAATACAGGTTGACAAAGTTTTAGGAACCTTATGGTATGAAAGGATAAATGGGTGGAATAGTTCTGGTGTTCTGAAACTTATTGTGTGCCTGGTTCTGATTTTTGGACAGCCAGCTCATGTTCCTTGGCTCTGTTGGAGACTCACCTATTGGTCTGGCCAATGTAGGTTCTGGAGCAGATGGAACAAAATATTTTGGGTTTCAATTTCACAGATGTTCATAAAAAGGTAGATATTTGACTTCTGGCTGCCCTTATGTCGTGGTTTTCCAGAATCCAGCACATTTAATCGATAACTCCATGAATATATGAAACTGAAGCTTTTGGATGGTCAGTTTTGTTGTCAGAAAGTTTCAGTTATGAGGTATGGGTTGCTGACAGTTTCAGTTATGAGGTATGGGTTGCTGACAGTTTCAGTTATGAGGTATGGGTTGCTGAAGTTGGATGGATCTTTGGATTTGGGAGTCGTGAAGTCCATCCTACTTCAACAAACTTATACTCCTTATCCCAAACTACAGGAACACATCCCAGCAAACCAAAATCCCAAGAGGCATGATGTGAGTACAGTGTTCACAGCCAACTATCGTAATTTCCCTTTTTTACGAGCATCTAAGAACTCGATGTCCACTGTGGCACAGGGAATATACAAAATACCATATTCCACGTCTAGTGCCCCAGAACTTACATCGGTCAGATCAGTTGAAAATTATCCAACAGTTTTGATGTGTCTTCTGACCTTCATAGTGGCCTTTGCATCGTACTGAAGTTTGAAATTGAGTTGAAGCATGTTGATCTACCTTCATGACATTTTTCCTGCACCAGAACAAAACCACTCTCGCAATGCACGTTTCTGGTGTGGAAAAAGTGTTTTCTTCAGATAGCAACGTCTGACAACGTTGGTGTTACAACCCATTCTGAGAGAATAGGCTCATAACATGTTATATTTTATTGTCTTTGTCTAAGTTTTTGTTTCATTTGTAGGACTCTGATGAAGGATATCATTCAGTTCCAAAACAGTCACTTCGAGATGCTGGCTCTACCGCCAACTTCAGATGAAGTCCATCACTCAGAAACATATTGTTGTAAATTATTTTCTAAAACAAAAAGCTGGTCGCCACTGACTTGGTCGAAGTCGACTTGCGCTTCTCGAACGTTCTAGATGTCGCTCCAAAGACTTCATTATCGGCTACCAGAGACTTCCATTACGATATATAAACACTGCCAACAGGCAGATGGGGCAAATTTAGTTGAAACTATGGTACGAAGTGATCTAATGAGGCGATAGGCCTGTTGGGATTTACACATTAAAAGGTGAGACCTCGTTAATCCTTAGCTCGCACAAGTTTCGACTTCTGAGGGTTATCGTTCGTAGGGGTGCGACAGCTGGTTAACGGAAAAACAGATTTTAAACAGATACAGACAGATAGACATTTGAGACACTGACCGAAGTTTCAGCTAAACTTCTATAAAAGATTATGCGAAAAGGAATAAAGTTCAATTGAAAGCAAGTCTTCACATGCTTCATTTTTTTGGAGGGGTTTCCTAGAAGAGACATTTTACGACAAATTTTAGATTTTTTCAACACGGAAACGATATACATGACTCAGTTTTCAAGTTATACCAAATGCATCACATTTTTCTAAAATATATTACTAGCCAAGAATATATGAGACTTGGGCAACACGACGAGGTGCTGAAGATTTATCGACCTCTTCTGAAAAAATTTTGACTCCTTTTGGAAATTCTCATACAAATGTTCGCCGCCGGTATATTCTCTGCGAGCTCTCAGCGAAATCCCGCGAGGAAATTCTCAAACAATACCCTCTGGCGACTTATCTGCGAAATCTTGTGGCGGGTTCTTTACAAAATTGTGGAAAGATCTTTGGGAAATTCTCATCTACTGATCATGTCGATGCCTGTCAAGAAAGCTGACTATGTAATCGTCTCAGGTTGTGCCTCTGGCGAGTTACGCACGAAATTCTAAACTGATATTTTTGCGAGTTCTTCGGGAAGTTGACGTCAACTATGGATTTCTTTGAGACAAACTAAATGAGCAGATTTCATGATAGAATGTACTCCAGGGGTTACATATTTCGCTTCTGTTGAGTTAACTTAATACCAGACTTCATTTGTAGATAACATTTTTGGTGAAAATCGTTGAGTCTGTCGGATAACTTGATTCGCCATCCTAAATCAATATTTGGCTCATAACATTGGTCTTTCATCAACAAAGTTCCTCACTTCTTGGGTAAAGTCACAAAGGTGACTTTATCGGAATTATGATTATCGACTGGCGCCCAACGTGGGGCTGCTTTTCACCATTTCAGTTTGTAACAGTGACGGCTCGTGCATTGGAGAACAGGGGAGGCTGATGATGGTTTTTGAGGTGCCCGAAAAAACGCTACCGTTTGAAAAAGTGCCAAATTGTGAATCATATTTGCCCCATAACATTCAAAGTTACTTGTAATTGCCGCGATTATTCGAATTTTCGGTTTCATCGTGTCCACGAAAAGCTAATTTTGGGGACCCAAATAAATCGTAATATTGATAAGTCTTTTTAAATTTAAATAAAGAAATTATGGCCTCTTTTTGAGCTGTATCTAAAGCTGATTCTATATTTTGTTTGCTTAACAATTTTAATTTACAAGACGAAAATATATGCTCCTTAGATTTAAAATGCCTTTCTGTAGAACGGGGTAAATTTTTTAAATCGAAGTATCCTATTTTAGACCACGTTTGGTATTCGGTTTGTACGGAAAATAAAACACAGGGCCAACAAAAAAGTTTTTCTCGTCGTTTAATGGAGCCGGTTAACTAATCGCATTTATCGTACCAACTCCTCGATTTTGTCGATTATCTGACGCTTTAAATGAAATCAAATTTGGTTGAGGCCTTCCCAGAGTTTTAATAATGTAAAATTTATTATAATAAGATAAAGACTTAAAATTATTTGTCAGAAACCAATCGCCTATATCGTCAGATTTTTTAATTTCGTCCAACTTATCCATAATAAATGGAAAAAAAAACTTACCGAAAAGTGAAAACCTGAAAACCCCTTGAAATTGAAAGAAAACGCTTCAAAAATATTACCAAAAAGCACTGCTATAATACAATACTGCCTGTTTTATATACAAATAACAAATATTACCAAGAAACACTAAAACGATTTACCGAAATTTTTTTCAGTCCCGGTCCGTCACGGCATCCCGTCCGAATAATTAAATAAAAAACAAACGCAGCCGTACACTAACGGAGACCAACTGGAGGCTAGCCTCCTCTAACGCTATAATTTCTGCAACTAAAAGTACAAATCAGAACGTATGTCGCTGGTTGGATCGGCCTCGCGAAGCTTGTGTCTTTTAAAACGGTCGGAGGCTTGACTCCCTTGCAACGTATGGCATTTATTATTTCGTGTTGATGGTTTAATCGTTATTCGTTCATGGGCGGTGCGTTTGAGGTTTGTTGATGCAGGACCCAGTGTGGTACGTACTACGTAGTGGGCGATAGTATTTTTTCGGGCATATTATGAATTTATATTAAAAATGAATGGTAAAGTAATGATACCCAAGCATTTTTGGAAAAAAATAATCATATTTATTTGTCAATTTCTCTCAATTTATTGCGACGAATAGCCTCAAATTTTATGGGGAGGCTAAGCCTCCCTTGCCTCCTCTGACGAGCCGCCGCTGGTTAGTAATCACTTCCTTGGAGAGGCCCCTGAAATATTCGGGGTAAGTATTCAAAGTAACAACTAATAGATATATCATTTATTTTCTTATTCGCATCCTGACTCTATCAAACATCTTGTTTTGATAACTTTAGCAAGATACTTAGAAGAATCTTTTGCTATCCTGCGTTTCTCTGGATCGCTCATATTGATGTAGTACATGCCCAGTTTGGCGCTGAAATCGAGATGTATTAGAATTATGATCAACAATTTCCATGTTAGTTTTCTCACTTGAATCCTTGATTCCATTCGAAGTTGTCGATAATACTCCATACGGTGTAGGAAGTCACATTTACTCCATCATAAATCGCGTCTACCATATGGCTCATGTAAGACTGAAAAAATTATCGAACATGGTGGACTTTAGATTTATAATTTTATAATAGTACGGTAAAATTAGGTCCTAAATTGAACATCATTGAACAATTGAACATCCAAAACTATCTATTAAAATAGTTCACTCTAATTTAGTAGAAAATTTTGGAGTTCATTAATATTTAGTTTTGAGTAAACGTTAAAACTGATCATACACAAATTTTTTTAGGAGTGGTATAAGCGGAACATTGGATCTTCAATCAAAGTTTTCCGGATAAGTCGATTTAAAAAATCTCTTGATATAGTGCTTACTTGCAGATAATCGATCCGATGCTGATCACGTAAGGTTCCAGTCGTATCAGAAACTCCGTTCTCTGTGATCACGATTTCTTTGTCTCCATATGTATGTTTAAGCCACCTCAAAAGTTTTCCGAAACCCCATGGAACAATCTGAAACAGTTGAGTTTGATTTCAAATTGGAAATTGTAATTGTAGCCACAAAGTAACTGAATGTCATTTAGTTCATTTAGAGGCAGATTTATAGATTTACAAGTTTTTGCATATGATCTTATCTTAGGATCCTTCAAATATCTTATACATAAGCTGAAACAAATTTATTGTATTTCGTAATTGTTGGGGAGCATCACAAACTTTCTGAACTCTTATTCACAGTTATACTCTAGTCGTGATTTGTTGACATGTTGTTCAAGATAGCCCCATAGAAAATAAATGAGCGGAGTTAGGTCAGGCGATCAAGATGGCCATTCAATTAACCTACAACCCCCTTCCTATCCAACGGTACGGAGACTTTTGATTTGACTTTTCACGATGCCTGCAAAGGACATCAATAAATTGCATCCATTAATTCATTCATTGAAAATTGTAGGACATTTTCAGAATTGGTGTTGTTGAAAAAAAGAAAAGACCAATTGATAATTACGCAAGGTTTTTCTGAATAAAATCTGCTTCTTACAGTTACTCATCTAGTTAGAATTTTCAGTTCTGTTGACAAATATTTGACATTTTGTTTGAAATAGCCCCATAGAAAAAAAATTGTGGAGTTAGGTCAGGCGATCTAGGTGGCCATTCAGTAAACCTACAACCCCCTTCCTATCCAGCGATAAGGGGAATTTTGATTTAACTTTTCACGATGCCTTCAGAAGATGTTAATCGATTGCCTCCATATTAATTCATTGAAAATTGTAGGAAATTTTCAGAATTGGTGTTGTTGAAAAAAGGAAAAGACCAATTAATAATTACGCAAGGTTTTTCTGAATAAATTCTGCTTCTTACATTTACTCATCTAGTTAGAATTTTCAGCGTAGGTACCAGCCGCAACTATTTTCTGGTGAAATCACTTTATTTGTTATAAAAGTAGATTCTTCAAAATGAAATATTCTTTAAAAAATGTCTGTAATTGAGGTATTCGGCCTGCTGGTCCATAAATAAAATTTCAAACGCTTTTCTTTGATCAACTTCTTCTAAAGTATGAAGAAGTTTTCGTTCAAAATGACTTTAATTTGTTTTTTAGACATCGCCTAAAATTCTCAAGTAAGTTCAATTCTCAAAATCTCATTTGGATCATTTCTGCAGCAATCTAATTTTGTCTGCTTATTTTAATTTTTTTTTACATTAGTATTCAAAAGAATGATTTGAGTATCTTCCATTGGACCTTCGAGTAACTTCTCTTTCATCAATTCGCATTAATATAAAGGGAATGAAGGAAATATAACAATAATGTCTAATATTGTACCTTGAACCAATCAATAGCAGCGGTTTTCCAAGTGGATTTTTGGTAAGAGTTCACACCAGAGTCTTCGTCCCAACTAACTCCTCCTACATGGTTTGGATCTTCGAGAGCACTGACCATATACGTGGTGTAATGATTCACAGCTAAAAAGTCGTAGGTTCCTTTGATCAATTCGATTTCTTCTTGAGAAAAAGTCGGCAATCGTGATTGCTTGAAACCCTGCGCTTTGCTGTATTTTGCAATGTTATCTATCATGATTTTGGGCCAATTTCCATAGACGATAGGATGGGCGTACATGCCATACTGCAAAAAATCAAAATAGTAATTCTATCTTAAACCAGGGAATAGCAAATGTCGCAGCATAGAAGTCGTTATAGTGTGTAGAAGCAAGATTCAAACATGTGAAACATGTGAAATTTCCTACCTGTATATAGGTACGCGTATTGCTTTTGTAGCATCTGACTCTGTGTTCTGTTTTATTTGTATTTTGTAGGGTTTATTAAACACAAACCTGGGTACAATTGCATCACTGGATGCCTGCAGCAGAGGTTGCCAAGTGAGCGCTTCTCGCCACAGGCTCAGCCTCAATTGCCCATTCATACCACAGCCATGTGCAATCGTAACATGGCCATTAAGGCAACCTCCTTAACGTACAGGTCCAGAGGGGACAGACCAGTAATTAATTCCATTGCCGCGGTTGGCGTTATTCTCATGGCTCCTGTGATGTTCAAACAAGCCAATCGTTGTATTTGATATAATTTTTGGATGGCCGTTGCTTGTAAAACTTTCGGGGGGAAGGGATCAATCCCCCTTGACCTCCTCTTGGCTACGGCCTTGTGCGTTTCCTACTTATCCGGTGGATAGATTTTGTGTTCAATTGTAAAGCAGGTCCGTTTAATTTTCACAAAATATCATTAATATGAGTTTATATAGTTTATGTAAAATGCGCCGTTCGGAAGCAAAGGCCAAGAAAACCTAGAGAGATAGAGAGAAAATAGTTTATATACTTATAATGCTTGTATCATTGTATAATCATTGTATATGGTTAATCTATATACAAAGGTATAATACAAAGCTACTATTATTGTATATAAACTAGGTTAGTCTATATACAAAGCTTACATCTTTGTAACCTGACGTACGAGAAACTATATGTAGATGTCGCTGACTCCGTGGTACTTAGGAATATGTAGGAACGTTTCATGCAAGCAATGCAAACGGGCATACACACTAGTTATATGTCTATCTTTTTGATAAATGATGAAGTATGGAGCTCAACTTGCCTCCACACTTTCGAATATGAACGTGTGAAGTTATGTACTTACCACAAATTGTCTTTTAATTTCAGCAGCAATGGCATCTGCTTTACTATGTGTAGCAGGTTCGTACCAATCAGAATCGATGACAATGGTATTTCTGCCTAGATAGGAAAAAATTATTTGAGTTAAAAAACCACTCAATGATGAACCTCTTAGAGTACAGTGAAAATTGAAGACTTTTATCAATTACATCAGATCAGGGCCGGATTTGGAAGCATAGAGGCCCTGATGGAGCAACGGAGATGTGGAGGCCCCCAATCAGTAATTATTTTTCGGATTTTTTTTGCTCAATTTATTTGTTTTTAACTAATGGGTACAAATTCCACATTGAAAAAAATGCCATAGAAATGCTTGATCAAATAAAAAATTGATCGTAAATAGCAACTTGCAATCAGGGCTTTCTGATATATCGATAACAATATTATTGTGATTTGAAAGGGTTATATTTTTAGGAGTGATTAATTTTTTGGGAAAGAAAGTTTTTGGCTTTCTACTACTCCATCTGATACAAAAAAATGGATGAGAGAATCTTCCAAAGAAAGGAAGGATTATTCAATTTGAAAATAAGTAACTCTATACTTGGGAGCCCCTCGCCTGTTGAAGCCCCGGGGCTGTTGCCCCTCCTACCCTCTCCAGAATCCGGCCCTGCATCAGATCAAAACAAAAATCTTATGAAAAGCAACCATCAGCAAAAATAAGATTGAAGTAAATCAAATATCATTTTCAGATCCATCGCAAGTCAACCAAAAATTTGAAACTCAAAAACCTAGGTGTTTATTTTGTTTGTTATTTAATGAAGCCACGATGAAACTAAATAGTTGAAATCAAGTCATATCGCAAATGAAACTTCGAAAATATTTTGACAGGCCCAGTGTCGGACTTGAAAAAACCTTTTGATCATATTGATGATTTTCAAAGTCGAGGAAAAAAGAACTGTACAAATGGAAATGAATGGAAATAGGGGATTCATAGGTATCCAAAGCATAATAATAATAATAAAGTATTGCACAAAGTAAACCGTTATAATATAGAAGTATCATAAGCTAACCTAAATAATGTACAGCAAAGTGAGGAAACCTGTAAGAAATCAAATTCTTGTATAGGTTGAAAAAATGCAGGGTAANCATAAGCATTGAGTTTAGAGTGACGTCATGTTATTTTTCGATTTATAATCTAGGTGGTCAATCCTGTACCGCTGAAGGAACATCCCGGCTCCAAGTACTACCGCAGCAGCGTTTGGGGGCCGACTTGTGATGGACTCGACCAGGTTGTGGAGCAGGTTATGCTGCCTGAGATGAAGGTGGGTGACTGGATGGTGTTCGAGAACATGGGTGCTTATACATTGCCGGTGGCGAGTCCATTCAACGGGTTCCCCATTCCGAAGGTGCAGATCGTCATGGATGAAAGCATTTGGTGAGTTTCTGAGTTTCATGATATTTTTTTCATTATTACGGATAATCTTGATGCTTCATTAGTTCAACTGATAGAAATGCACCAACACAAACATTCAAAACACTTTTGAATTTTTCTTCATATCTTGTAATGACAGGGGAAGCAAAAGTGTACCAATACAGGTTGACAAAGTTTTAGGAACCTTATGGTATGAAAGGATAAATGGGTGGAATAGTTCTGGTGTTTTGAAACTTATTGTGTGCCTGGTTCTGATTTTTGGACAGCCAGTTCATGTTCCTAGGCTCTGTTGGAGACTCACCTATTGGTCTGGCCAATGTAGGTCCTGGAGCAGATGGAACAAAATATTTTTTATATGGCCTGTTCCTCGTTGGGTTTCAATTTCACAGATGTTCATAAAAAGGTAGATATTTGACTTCTGGCTGCCCTTATGTCGTGGTTTTTCAGAATCCAGCACATTTAATCGGTAACTCCATGAATATATAAAACTGAAGCTTTTGGATGGTCAGTTTTGTTGTCAGACAGTTTCAGTTATGAGGTATGGGTTGCTGAAGTTGGATGGATCTTTGGATTTGGGAGTCGTGAAGTCCATCCTACTTCAACAAACTTATACTCCTCATCCCAAACTACGGGAACACATCCCGGCAAACCAAAATCTCAAGAGGCATGATGTGAGTACAGTGTTCACAGCCAACAATCGTAATTTCCCTTTTTTATGAGCATCTAAGAACACGATGTCCACTGTGGCACAGGGAATATACAAAATACCATATTCCACGTCTACGGGCCCCAGAACTTACATCGGTCAGATCAGTTGAAAATTATCCAACAGTTTTGATGTGTCTTCTGACCTTCATAGTGGCTTTTGCATCGTACTGAAGTTTGAAATTGAGCTGAAGCATGTTGATCTACCTTCATGACACTTTTCCTGCACCAGAACAAAACCACTCTCTCTCGATGCACGTTTCTGGTGTGGAAAAAGTGTTTTCTTCAGATAGCAACGTTTGACAACGTTGGTGTTACGACCCATTCTGGGAGAATAGGCTCATAATATGTTATACTTTATTGTCTTTGTCTAAGTTTTTGTTTCATTTGTAGGACTCTGATGAAGGATATCATTCAGTTCCAAAACAGTCACTTCGAGATGCTGGCTCTACCGCCAACTTCAGAAAAACACGAAAAGTGTTACGAACTACCATCTTTTCCAATTAGGATTGAGATACCTGGAAACCCATTGGAAACTCATATTTTGGATTACGCAATGGAATAAGTTTATGACTCTGATTTTGATTTTGACCTGTAACTCGATTTATTGTCTATAGACCACTAGTAATTTTTTATGGAGAATGAAGGGATCGAGAGGATTTTTGTACTTACTCCCTATATTGATTTTTTTCTCATTTGTTTTTCATATTTTTCATATTGAGGAAATTGATCTTGAATTTCTGATCTTGACGTTTTCTCTATCGTTTCATTCTCTTTGTTGAGGAAAAATAATTTTCTGAATTTTTTAACCGACAATTTCTCATTTTGCAATGTTGAAGTTAAGAATTTTTTAAACTTGAAACAGTTCACGGATTCCGTAGGGTTGTATTTGTTAAATACATATAATGTGGAGTTGTAATTGTGTTTTATCATCTATCACCGCGAACCACCTTTTGCGGTGATATTTGATCAAATTCCAATTTCAACTTTGGTGTGTAAGCAAGGGGGCAGCTTAAAGCTTTTCGAAAGGATGAACTTAATATCCATCCTAGTTTATTTTGAAAAAAACTCAATGATATAAATATAGAAATATGTGGGAAGTTTAAATGAATACATTTACTTAAACTTATTGGAGAATGCTGTCAACCCAGCACTAATGAAAAACGACTGTAATTTTTAAACTACTAAAAAAACGTTTTTGATTAAAGTTTTTATTAATTCCTTATTTTATTTTCTAAACAAAACCATCTAAACAAACACATCTCCTAGCAACACCTAGCATACTCCATTTGAAGGAAATTGTAGGGCACTACACTATTATCCACCGAGGCTTTGGCTAAATCTTGGTGGCACTTTAGTACTAGCCCAGAGGTGACACGTTGTCTGCTCAAGGCTAATAAGGCTTGTCTGCTGTCAGTGCAGATTGTTATGTTTTTGTCAGAAATTCCTTTTCTGGTTATTTCTTTTGTGGCGATTGAGATACCAGCCAGTTCTGTTTGAACCACGCTGGTATTTTTTCCCATTCCCCACTTAATCCTTAGGCTTATTTTTCCCATTCCCCTCTTAATCCTTAGGGTTATTTTTTCCCATTCCCCACTTAATCCTTAGGTTTTTTTCCCATTCCCCACTTAATCCTTAGACTTAGTGATCTGGAGTACAGTCCACATTCTGAGCTTTCTTTGCTTTTTGAGTCGTCTGTATATATGCATTAACGCAACTTACTTAACGTACAGGTCCAGAGGGGTTGAATCACCCCCTTAAATGTTTTACACTTATTCAGTTACACCCTGCATACTGTTTTCAGTTGGATTATGTTTGAAATATATCTAAGGTTTTTCAGTTTGTGAGTTAAAAAAATGTAGTTTTTTGATCACATACGGGACACGCTTATTCCACTTGAGGTGAATGTCAATAAGCACACCTAGATATTTAAATTCAAATGTAGATTCTATTGAAAAATCTTCAGAAATTTTCAAAGCAGTGAAGGATGGATAATGGAAGTAACAATGTTTTGCTAGGGTTTATCTCTTTCTACTAGTTCTTTCAAAGTGTTGCATTCTTGGGCTGAGTAAAAGATTGCTGTATCATATGCATACGTGATTATTTCTCCTTTGGTATTGACTTCTAATATCATAGAAATCTTTTATTCGTTTGAAAGACCTATTGATGCCATTATGTGTAGAATATTACATAGTTCAAATGTCCGTCACGGCTTTTCTGGATGGAGCGCATCCAAAACGTCCAATTTTCCACGATTCTGGCGCATAAATCAGACTGAATTTGACCGATGGCCATGAGTTATGTTGACTTTCAGGACCGCTGTGGTTTTCGACTAATTTGCATACATCTGCGACTTGAGAAAACCCCCCAAGAAAAACTTTAACGGGGTCAAACCATATTATCTAATTCCAGCCAAAGGAAGTTGGTAATCATCGACCGTGTTGACACTGGCCAACGTCGTTCTCAAAGAAATACGGACCAATGATGCCGCCAGCCCAAAATCTACACCACACAGTGACCACATCAAACGTCGTTGTCTATGGTCATTCACTTTCAGTTCCTGGGTCAGTTAAATGTTGTACGGGTGTAGACCCAAGTCACGATACAAAATTCGCCAAGTTTTGGTCCCTCAGAGTATCTTACCACAACTATAACAAAATGAAATAAACTTACTTTTGAGCTTGGATCTGAACTCCTTATCAAAAACATGCCAAGCCTTTGCATGCGCCAGCAGAACATGTCGTGCACAGAGGTATTCTCCGACTCCTGGTGACACTACTCCTGGAGCAAAAACCCCCAACCCGTATCCAGCATGGCAGATCTGTTTGGGTTCATTGATAGTTACCCAAGATTGGACGTACTTTCCAAATTTTTCATAGCAGAGTCGAGCGTAGTCTACAAACCAGTCGACTACTTTGGGGTTCTGCCAACCTGAAATGAATAGACAAAGATTTGAGATCAGTCACATTGAGCTAGAAAACAAGGATTTCCTTTACGAATGTTCGGTAGGGAAAGTAATTGTTCCAGGTAGACTATTTTTCCTAGTTTGTATCTGTCGAAATTTCAAATAATTTCTAGATTGAAGTCGTACTTTCGAGATTAAACTCAAAATTTCGAGTTTCATAGTCGTAATTTTCAAGAAACGAATGATAAGTGAATGATCCCTGCAGTTTTTCACAGTCATAAAGCAATGTGTTCCCTTACTGTAAAAACTTCGAATAATTTCTAGATTGAAGTCGTACTTTCGAGATTAAACTCAAAATTTCGAGTTTCATAGTCGTAATTTTTTAAGAAACGAATGATAAGTGAATGATCCCTACAGTTTTTCACAGTCATAAAGCAATGTGTTCCCCTGATTTCGAAGCTGGCAACATTGTTTCGTATGAGAAAATGGTTGAAACTTTCGTGGCCAAGGTTTTCAGTGTCACTATTTTTCAGGTTTGAGGTCTGTCAGTTTTTGGAAATTTCTTCCTAACGTTTCGATGTCGCGAGCGGCTAGCTTCTCCAGAGCTTTATACATCGAAGATAATCCGATGACTGGATATTAATTACGGCTACGTACATCGTATTTATCTTGACTCAGATAGTTTGTACCTGTAACTGGGTTAGTCGAATCCGTAGAAATGGAAGAACTGCTAGACCCTTCAAAATACCGCAAACTCAAACGGGACCAAACACTAGGTTGAGGAACATTAACAAAAACAATCAATCTTCCTCACTGCCGGAAACAGTAGAGAGAACCATTTTCAGTACCCAAACCGCTCCACCCAGGCCCCACCGTCTTCCGAAGGTACATGAAACCAACATGCCACTGAGACCAATAGTAAGTGTCTCAGGCTCGCTGACCTACCACCTGGCGAAGCATCTGGCCTCGCTCCTCCAGCCTCATGTGGAGAAAACAAACTTTTACGTCAAGGATTTGACAGACTTTTTTGCTAAAATTAGAGACTCAACTCTGGAGCCGACAGATATCCTGGTAGCTTCGATGTTGTGTCTTTGTTTACCAATGTCCCACTGGAAGACTCTCTGAGGGGGCTACTCTACTTGGTTCCGAGTAATATCGTCGGGCTCTGGAGGGGTAGCTTCTATTAGCAACTAGATGACGTGGCGATGGGAAATGCACTTAGCCCAGTGATAGCTAAAGACTTCATGGAACGTATTGAAGAGAAAGCAATCGACACCTTTGATTCGAAACCGTCCTTGTGGTTACCATACGTGGATAACACCTTCGTCATTTGGAAACATGAAAGTGACGCTCCAAACCTTTTCCTAGACCTAGAATGTTCAACACCTCAGCATCAAGTTAACCATGGAGACTGAACAGGACCAGTGGATAGCATTCCTAACCTAACCTGGCCCACAAAGTGTATCGAAACCCACGCACACAGATAGATACCTGCACGCACTATCCAATCACTATACTAGTCAAAAGAGAGAAGTTGTGTATACTCTGAACGGACTAGAAGAATATGTGAACCAGAGATCAACAATGCCATGAAACTGAAGAGTTTCAAGGTTCAAAACGAGGAGGAAGCTGAGATGGCTGCACGTGCATATCTACCATATATCCCTAGGGTCACAAACAGAATTGGAGAGGCCCACTATCAGCAGCAGGGGTATATCGCATACCATGCACTTGTGGAAAGGTATACATCGGAACCACCAAAAGATCTTTGGTAACAAGGCAGTGCAAACTGCAGACACTCAGTGAAGAAAACCACAGGATTCTGTTTGAAAATACGAAGCTCATTGCTCCCAACCATAGATACTCTAGCCAACTGGAAAGGAAGGCAATGGAGATCCACAAACACAAATGTTCTTGACAGTTTACCTAATCTAAGTACAGGTATCAGCACACCAAACTACTTGAGTCAACATACGCAGCCGTAATATCCAATCATTGGAAAGCGAAACGTCAGGAAGACATTTCAAAAATCTACGGCCTTTAAACCCAAAGAATAGTGACACTGAATGTTTCATATGATCAAACATTTTATAGCAAATGCTTGCTTTGACATTATTATTATTAACGTCCGAAAAGGAGCAAATATCGATAGATTCAACTCCGCGAACCCTCAGACTTCACCCAGACTATTCTGTAAATGTGGTTGTTCTGATTATGGAAGTCCTTATAAATTTTCAACTTCTTTATTTTTATACAAAAAAATTTATTATCGACACATCTTCGTGGGGAATTTATTTTGGAATTATTTGCTTTCTTCCTTCCTTTGGAAGATTCCCACATTTTTTGTATAAAGATGGGGAAGTAGAAATCCAAAACATTTTTTTCAAATGAATATCTCCTCAAAATATATTCCTTTCAATTCAAATCCTAATATCTATAGAGATGTAATATCGCTGTTGCGGTTTCCTTTTTTTGAGTGTCATTGATCTTGATTAGATATTTGACACTTGTGAACTTTATTTGAAATTGTGTTACATTTTCAAGTAGGTTGATATAATTTGATAAAGAAATGACGTTAATTCGAAGAAGCATCAGATTGTGATCTCATTGAGTTATCTTATCCTCTCAAGCTGTTTTTTCTTACCTCCTTGCTTTTCCAGAGCAGTTGGTATGTCCCAGTGGTGCAGAGTTACCATAGCTTGTATTCCTTTAGATTCTAGTTCCTCAAATAAGTTCACGTAATAGTCTATTCCGGCTTGGTTTATTTTTTTAAGTGTTCCATCGGGTAGAATCCTGGACCAGGCAATGGAAAACCTGAAAACGACCACACAAAACTAACAAGTCAGACTAAAAGGTTCACACAAATTCTACCTGTAATAATTTACTCCCACTTCTTTCATTGCGGCAACGTCCTGCTTGTAGAAGTGGTAAGAATCACTAGCGACATCTCCGTTAGTATGATCTGACACCCTGGAAGGATTATCGTGGATGAATGTATCCCATACCTGCTCTCCTTTACCGTCGAGGTTCCAGGCGCCCTCAATTTGATAAGCAGCAGTTGCTACTCCAACTGCAATGTGTTTAGGAAGGATTCGTTTAGTTATTGTGTAGTTGGCGAATTCGTCGTCACCATCTGCCAGACTGAAAATGGAAATGTTTCGGTTAATTGCCTTGAGCTTGGAGAAAAAAAGATAATGGATTTCAGAAGAATATTTTATCCAGTTCATGAAGACAGGAACATGTGACGTACCGAAGGCACAACAATAATGATCTGATCAGAATGCAGAACAGCAGTTGAAATAAACACATTGTCTTCTCCAGAGAAAAGGCTAAATTTTAAGACCACAATCGGTTATCTTCAAATTTCTTTCACCTAACGAGCCTTTCATCAGTATCAATATCCAACCATTTTAGACACACAATTCTTGGGCATTTATTTAGATGAGTAAAAGGGTCCCAACTAGTACTTGTGATGCAGAGTTTGGAACCTTTGGTGTAGTAATGAATATTACTGGAGTTTTATCCCAACACCAAAGCGTTAGTTTAACACCTCTACACGTGTTTTGATCACCAAGAGATCATCTTCAAGAGGAAGATAAAACTTCAGTTTTCAACATCAGCTTGAAATAAAATAGTTTTGACTCATCGTTGACCATCTATCCACCAGTTCATTTTTGAAAATTGAATATTTGATTCATCAAAATATGTCGACTTTTGACATTATACTCGTATCTTTCAGAAAGACAAATCGGAAAAATTTCGAAAAACTCACCATGAAGGTAGTGATAGACACACTACAACTAACAAGTGAAAAAGTTCCATTTCTGATAACCTCTAGGGAACTACTGGCGAATCTAAAAACAGAGAGATATTTATACGAAAAAACAAAAAACATTCCACTTGAACTGAGATGGATAGATATGAATTACACAGAAAAACAAAGTAATTGAGATGATCAGCCCAATAATCATATTTATTTTATTATCTGTCAAAAATCTGTAAAATTTCAGTTACGATATCATTTTTCTTTTTGATAAAAGTTCAATCGTTTGCAAGTGTAGATATTTTTTTTTCTATCGGCTCTTCAATTATACTTTTTAATATTCGTATTACTTATCTCAGGTTGAATAACTCTAGAAGAAATTAAATCAATCCTGTGATGTGTCTGTCCTCTTTGAAACGAATTCTAATAACTTCTTCAGATTGGCCAACATACTTTTGTCTCAATGCAAACAATTTGTTTCGTAAATCCTGGATTACTTAGTTTTTGAACTTATTTCGTTTCAGATTGTCTGCCTAACACTTGTTGTGGAGTGATAAGTTAGGGTTCTAGAGTTTTTTCTTTGTAAAGTTTCCCTTCTCTCAAAATTTTTCATTTTCATTCCTTGAATGGATAGTTTTTTCAGTCATTGCCTTGTTATTGTTCAGGAGCATTAAGTCGTTTTCCATGCAGTTATTTTTCCGGACCCTTATAATTGTAGTTTTTAAACTACTTTTAAAAAACGTTTTTGATTGAAGTTTTTATTAATTCCTTATTTTATTTTCTAAACAAAACCATCTAAACAAACACATCTCCTAGCAACACCTAGCATACTCCATTTGAAGGAAATTGTAGGGCACTACATTACACCCCCCCTTAAAAAAAAATATTAAACGCGAAAATGAACTCTTCTTCCAAAGCGGGTTACATAATTTGATTTTTCTGGATTTTCATTTTGATTTTCTGATTTCTTCTTGAGAATTCCATTTGGTGTATTTGGAAATTTTGCATTTTCAGGTAAATTTTCATTTGATGATTCTATAAAAGCTGGCTTCAACCTATCAATCGAAATATTCTTTCTTTTTCCATTAACTGAAAGTGTAAAATATTTTTCGGTTCTTTCTAAAACCTTGTAGGAACCAGAATAAGGAGTTTGCAATGGTTTCTTAACACAATCTGTTCTTAGAAAAACATGAGAGGTGTTTCGCAATTCCTTATGTACAAACATTTTTTTCTCTCCATGATGACTGGACTGATTGTTGATTTTTATGTTTTTCATGGTTTCTTGTAAAGTTTTCAAAAATTCTACCTAGACCATTCTCCTTCAAAAACTGGGCTGCGTCTTCTGGTACGAGATTCATCAAGTTTTTGAATAAGTTGATCAATTTTATTTTCTAAGCGAAACCATCTAAACAAACACATCTCCTAGCAACACCTAGCATACTCCATTTGAAGGAAATTGTAGGACACTACATAATCGAAAAAGAATTAGTGGATGTTATAAAATCCTTGCAAAAATCTGGATATTTGTACGCCAATGAACTAAACAAAAACTAATACCTGAGCATCGCAACTATTGTATTATTATTTCGAGAAACAAACTTTCTCCAATGAATCCCATTTTGGTTTTCGGGGAGATTGTTCAAAATCGTACGGCGTTTTCAAAGTTGTCAGTGCATTTGATTTTATTGAACAAAGTTTCAATTCAATCAATCTCTGCAATGAATCAAAAGCCTTCGACTGCGTCTTCCATGAAAAATCCTTTCCAGTCTGTATCTATAAACCATTCGGCGTCTAACTTCAGTAACTCCTGTTTAAGCACGGGGTATCTCAAGGTTCCGTCTTGGGTACACTCTGGTTCTTTATTTATATCACAAATCACTAGGTAGGACATCTTAGCATTGAACTTTGGGGTGAAACCTCTGCTGCCTCACAAATTTCCAAATTATAAAAACGAGGCATCAGCATACAGAGTAATACAGCAGATGCCTATGCCAAACTCTATTATAAAATTGAGTGCTATGCATTTCCATTTTCATTTTTGTGTAGGGTTCAACCTTGTAGAGTGAATTTGGGCAAATTTCGGATATGCCGTTGGTTACCTCGTTCACAGGCAGGTGGGGCGATGACAAACCTGTTGTTTGTTGTCTGCTTCGGCGTAGTTCGAGGAATGATACTCTGAAGGAATTTGATTTTCAATTATCGGAAATCTTCGATTTTATGTTGATGATAGACACTACCTTGCCCTGACGAGAGGCCAAACAGCCCGAAACCGGTCTGCAAGTGTGTTAGAATAATTGAAAATTTATTGCGGCAGTTGTATCGTCAACATCATATGCAGGAATAACTTCAGTGGGGAATCCCGCACTGACACCTGTCGGATATAACCCAACGCCCTTCGTGGTATTAGCCAGGGGAGTAGTTGTTTTCTGATAGGTGTCAGTCCATTAACCTACAGTGTAAGGAGTTGAGACTGTCCTGAACTAATTGTATGCCCACTGACTATATGTGAAAAGTTTTGAAGAAGGAGATAAATTACCACCTTTGTGATTGTTTGATCAACAGCCAGCATCGAGAACTATATTCTTGTAAAATAATGTAGTATTTCTAATGGGAATTCTCCAGAAAAAAGTTATAGGACAGACAGGGAATATCTTTAACACAAGTATTAATACATAATTTGAAATTATTGTGGGAGGGGTGATAAAGTGCAACAAAAAGAATGTTATACATATTTAATGAAAGCAGTACACTTTTGGATCATGAGTTAGTAAGAATTTCGTATAAACTCAGCAAGAATCCAACAAACATCTTGTTTTTATCACTTTCGCCAAATATCTCGAAGAATCTTTCGCTATCCTTGGCCTCAATGGGTCGCTCATGTTCACATAGTACAAGCCCAGTTTGGCACTGTAAAATAAAATATATTTTTCAAATAACTTTTTAAGAATGAAATTCTAATTCGGTCAATCAATTACAATCGTTCACAGAATGAAAAATCTGAATTTACTAAATCTATAATAGCATGTGAAGGAAACCGTTACGTTTATTCCGAAAGCCACTGAGCTCAGACATTTTTTTGACAACCTAAAAAGCGACAGAAAAAGAAATAGTTCATACTGCTGTCCAGACAGAGTCATGGCCGGTGAGAAGCCCCTTCCTGAAGATGTGCAGTAGATGTGTAGAAATAAGTCTGTTAGATTATTCGAGGCTTATTCAATTAGGACCGTATTCATTTAGTGATGGAGTTTAAAAGTAAATTGCATAAACATATGTCGTACACCGACCCAGACTTTACGCAGACACGACTGAGTTATGTCCGATAGGAGAAGCCGCCTCTGACCGATATGCCGGCCAGCGAACAAACACATGACGTCACCGCAAAAAGTATGCAGTCGGCAACCTCCGGTAAAACTCTAGAAAAGAACCGACTACAGATTTCTAGAAATGATCGTTACCGATATATAAGCCCGGCTTCCCAACCCAAGGGGGAATTCAGAAAGTGAATCGAGCGGTTAAACAAGGAATTCGAATAGTGGAAATAAATTAAGCGTTAGTTGCTAAGTGCTGTAAATAAACTAGTTAGTAAAATATTGTTGGAAATAAATTTGTTTAAGACAGTTAATTCTTCAATTTGTTACAATACTAATAATTTTGAGTAGTTCTCTTATCAAGAACTTGAAAAATCGGCTGTTCTCAATGTTCTCAAGCCATTTTTACTACGGCTGAGTAAAAATAATTACTTTTAATCGACTGAAAAAAATTCAGAATAAAACATTCTTCACATCAAAAAACAACTCCCTTATTCATCATCTCCTAATGATATAAATGATATTATTCAATGTTCTTCATTCAGGTTATCCTTGCAGATGTTACAAATTTATTGAACTCAATCAGATGATTACTCAGAGACTGGTTTTGGAGTAATTACTCCTTATCAGTGCTGGTCTGCAAATGATTACAAAATGAAACAAAAAAATGAAGAATAATACGCAAACGTTTCTCAGATGTAGTTCAATATCTGGTTCGGTTTCATCCACGGAAGTAGTTGTTTTCCTAGAGGCTTCTGACAAATTCTTTGAATTTTTTTCACAATCATACTCACCCAAAACCCTGTGTCCATTCAAAATTATCGATTATACTCCAAACCGTGTAAGAAGTTACATTCACTCCGCCATCATAAATCGCATCCACCATATGGCTCATGTAAGACTGAAAAAAAAATTAAAATCGTGTTGCTAATAAATTTCACTTTTTTGAAGGTACTGCTGAAATGTGGCAGAAATCATTTTTTCGATGACTTTTTGAAATTTGTGAATATACAACGAACAAAAGTCATCTTGAACAACTTTACAACTTGGATAAGGAAAAGCAATATAGACTAGCACCCAAACTTAATGATTCTCATTTATTTTCAACTAACTTTCGTAGGATGAAGGTTAAATTAGCCAGTCAAGTTTTCAGTCATTCGGTAGCTACAGCGATGAATACCTAATATGCCAGTTTCAATCAGATACCATCAGCAACAATAGGAACGGCTACATTCATTGAAAAAATGGATAAAGTGTTTGATATTTTAAATTCAAATAGATTTGACGATGTGAAAGATTTCAGTAAACCTTTTTTTGAACCATCAAAACAAATTGATTTTCTGAAAGAAATGAAAATATTTTTCAGTAAATTAACTGTAATATCAAAAAAGGAAAAACACGACTGGACAAATGAGATTTGGGAAAACCTACATAGTGAAGGACACTCCTACATATTGACGAGGAATATGAATCAGGGCTGTGTGGAAAATTATTTTGGTCAACTTAGAAATACTTGTGGAAATGCCAGAAACCCAACTCCTATTCAAATTACCAGAGCTTTCAAAAACACATTTACTCTTCAGTATTTCACACAGGCAGAAGGAACTAACTGTCTGGAAGATACGAGATTCTATCTAGTATTACAGATGCAGACATAAATAGAATGAAGATTCATGTGGAAGTTCCAAAAAATCTCTATAAACCTTTGAGAGTAGAGATAAATGATTATATAGAACTCTAGCCACTCCAGAAGGCAACAGCTTGGGCTATGTTTGTGGATATCTTTTGAGAAAATGTTTAAGGAAACATTCATGTGTATGTACAAATTTTGCCGCGGCGGCTACTACCACACTGAATGAAACAAATGTATATTGTCATTTCAAGGCATATAGTAATACAGTAGCTAAACAGTTTGGAAGTTTATATGTGCCTCCAGATTCATTTTTACAATGTATCATTCATCTAGAGACAGAATTTCTTAATCATTTCAACAATTTATGTACCACTGATTGCATAGGAAACCAACTCAAAACAATGTTTTCAAAAATCAACATTTCTCACCCTCGTGATAATTTTCCTTTGGATTATTTATTTTCTCTTTTCACAAGGGTAAGAATTCATTATACTTTGAAATTTGTCAATAGAAATTTGAAAACAAATGTTAAGAAAAAAATCAAAAACTCATCATTTTAAAAAACCTTTAAAATATATTGGCATTAGTTTTTGTCCTGAATTGTATAATCTTACTGTATAAAATATACGTTTATTTCACCACCTTGTCTTATTTTTTATCAATTCCTAAACAGTTCACAATCATATGAGACATTTATTGGGAGCTCCTCGTAGCAATGATGAAGTCAGATCATGGTCACATATTTTTTGATCGAACCTCGTGCAGAAGTGCACAACAGCTCTTAGTCGACACCCTCCTGCCCCGCCACATGCCAACAAAAAATAAAATCTCGACCCGAAACATCAAAGAAGCCGAAGGGATTGCATTTACTTCTGTTTACTTATGTACGGTGCCCAGGTACACATTTATTTATTATTAATTGGCTAGGTAAAACTAAGGTATTTGAAATTTCGCTACTTCAAATTGTAGAAACATTAAATATGTAGATTTTATTTCGGGGAGGTATGGCGAAACACGTGTTGCGTTTTTGTAAAACTGTTCAGTAAAAATCTCACAATAAAGTGTTTCTTGAATAATTTGAAGTTACTTACTCTCAGATAATCGATTCTGTGCTGGTCCCGCAAAGTGCCAGTGGTGTCTGAAACACCATTCTCAGTGATTACGATTTCTTTATCGCCATATGTTTCCTTGACCCATCTCAAAAGTTTTCCGAAACCCCATGGTACTATCTGAAAAAATACAGAAAATGTTCCATGGTATTCATTAACGAAAGTCTTAAATCAATTCAAACTTTGACTGACAACCAAGAATGTATAATTCCAAAATAGTACCTAGGCACTTGATTCTCAGAAATGACTGACGTTTTTGGCTTAAACTGCAGTGGCTTACGGAAATTGTACTAAACAGACGAGGGAAAATCATGATAAAATATAATCACAACCTTGACAACAATGTTTTCGTTTTAATGCAATAATATTTCTGAGAATTTAGTGCCTACTATTATGGAATTGTACCATAGTTTTCTTTATTTCCTGAAGACGCCAACTTGGTTGATGAAACGCGTGTCAAGAAGAGTATTGCAGTTCTAGTGATTGGGAAAACTACTGGTTTTGGATTCAAACTGATGAAGCTTAGTGAATCTGTATTGAAAAATAGCTGATAATTCGTGATCCCAACACCACTTGTTTGTGAAAGGTGACTTTAAAAAATATTGTTGTAAATCGTGCCCTAAATGAAATAACGCCGGCCGCCACTGGTAGACATAAACCAATTGTGACGTAGCTAAGAGCGCGCGAATGTTCGATATTCGCTGCCGTTCTAGATGTAGCGAGAATAACGCTACCGATTTCGATAGAAGTCCGACTCAGTGCGGTGCAGAGCGATAGACATTTGAATACTAGTTGAAGTTTTAGTTGAAATGTTTTGTTATATTATCAGTGAAATAAAGTTTAGTTTGATTATTGTACACTGTAGTCAATTATTGATAAACCCACGGGTAGAAACGTTAAACAATATATTATGAATATTTAGAGTCTGAGGGAAAATCTTGAAAGATATATTATTTTGATTATTGTATGTAATCTCATAGCATTCATTCGATATTGAATGATATAAACATTTTGATGAAGTATAAGGACCTGTGAAGAAATATAAAGACTGTTTTCTATCAGAAATATCGACAGGAATATATTATTTGGAAGATTCCAACATTTTTTTTTGTTAATGATGCAGAAGTAGAAATCGAAAACCCTTTTTTCCCAAACAATAACCTCTAAAAGTATACCCCTTTCAATTTGAACTTTTTCCAATGGATGGGTTTGAATCAAATGAGCAAGTGAATGACATTACGTATTGTCATCGATGCCGATGACATCAGAGTAGATTTAAATAGAATTAAGTGCTTTATCTCGTAATATTATCCAGATTGGTGCTGAAGAGGCAATAAGACACGTGTCTTATTTCGAAACATCGGATGTCCGCCATTGAGTATGACATGGAAACCTTTATACGAGCGAAAAAACGGTCTATCCACTCGGAAAGCACCAGACCCGGACCACATAACAAACCGGGCACTGAAAGTCCTACCGCGCAAGGCTGTAGCAGCCATAACCAACATCATAAATGCTATACTCAGATTGCAGCACTTCCGGTACCCGTTCAAAGAGGCAACGGTTATCCACATACCGAAGCCCAAGAAGAACCACCTGTTCCCAGATAATCACAGGCCAATTAGCTTACTGCCTTCCATAAGCAAAGTGGCGGAGCGTGTCATCTTGAAGAGATGAACAATTCGGTTTTAGATCAGAACACTCAGCAGAACTAAAAGTCCTGAGGGTAGTAGACTTCGCGACCGAAGGCTTCAACCTCGGCAAAGGATAAAACACCGGAGCTATCTTCTTAGACGTCTCCAATGCGTTCGACAGAGCTTGGCATGACGGACTACAGGCCAAGATGAGCGATTTTGGATACACAAAATTAATTCAGTCTTCTCTAGCAGACAGGCGATGCCGTTGCAGAGTTGGAGACGAATTATCAACAATTCGACTACTGAAAGCAGGGGACCCGCAAGGAGCAGTCCTTTCGCCACACCTCTTCTCCGTATACACAGCGGACGTGCCCAAACCAGAGAACAACTTTAACAAGTTGGCCCTCTACGTGGACGACACGGCCCTGCTGGCGAGATCTACCAGCCAAGCGCATGTCACCAAATATTTGCAGCAACAGACAGACAGATTACAGGAGTGGGCCAACCTGTGAAAGATCAGTATAAACCCTGACAAGAGTCAGGCGATACTGTTCACTCGCAGGTTTGTACAACCAGAAGGCAACGTCCTCTTCAACGGACAAGAGATTCCGTGGACCAACAAAGCGACATACCAGGGGGTCATCTTAGACAGGAAATTAATATTTCAGTCTCACGTACGGCAGAGAATCGGAATGGCTAGACACGCCAGACAACGCCTGGCACCTATTATAGGATGACTGGACCACAGTATGCTATTCTGTGGTCCAGTCATCACTCGAAAACAATGGGGAATGTTCCTCAATTTGGGTTATTACAGCAAATGCAAGTTTGAACAAAATAAAGTTAAGTTTAATTCATGAGTTTTTCAAATTCACTTCGAAAAGTATTCAAATTGATGTTTCAAATGTTGGGTTTTAATTTTTAAAGGGATTTGTTTCTAATTCACATATTGGCAACAGCGCCAATACTTACTTAGATATTCTACTTTAAAAAAGGAAAATTATCCTTATAAATCAAAAATTAGGGCGAAATATAAATTATAGTTCAATACCACCTCTACAAGCCACATAAACAACAGTTGTTTTATTTATATAGTGGAAGATAGGTTAGGCGCACAAAATGTCATATGTCACAGAATGTCTCAGAACTCGGAACATAAGTAAACAGAACAGCACGCCTCTGAAATATGTCATTTTTTTTTGTCTCATACAGGTAACAGATGCATTGTCCTTTATTAGCTATAACCAATGTTGCCAAATGGTGAAATAAAAACGAATCCCTTCAAATGTTGAATGCATTGTTCCATTTATCTTTTTTTAAGTATTTAAATAATTTTATAAAGAAAAAGGTTGAAATGATAAGTTTAAAATGCGTTGTTTTAGAGCTCTTTTATGAAAACTACTTGATTTTCGTCAGGAGAAACATTCCCCATTGTGGAAACTAACAAGTAAGTAAGTAATTTTTAGTAAGTAAGTAATTTTATTCAATTTTCATGTCAATCAATTATTCAGTTACATGATTTGTTTTCCGTGCGATTTACAATTCAATTCAATTACGATTTACAATTCAAATGTCTTATCATATAACCATATATTACACAATCTGTAGCCACCTAAACTAGGCTTGTGTCGTGGCTACAGACTGATATAAGGTGTGTTATATAATGTATAATAAAATAAATACAAAAAAAGAAAAAACTAAAATAGGTCGTTTGGTTACATAATACTATCCACCTCACTAGGTTAAAAACCGCAGTTGGAGAATGATGGCTATAGTGAGGAAATAAGAAGAGAGAAAGAGAGAGCAGGTAATTTAGCTTAAACATTTTCAAAGATATCCTGCAATGGATCATAATGATTTCTGATGAAAACTTTCAGTTCCTTCTTCAATTTATGATAATTATTAATATTCGAAACGATAATAATCGAAATGTTTGAGATTGTTTTTTAATTCAATTTGTAATTCTATTTCACGTTTCATTGCTTAATAGAATTGTTATTTTTAGTTATTTATTTTAGTTTTTTAATTTCATTTGTTCTTTCAGAGATTTCAAATCATGTCATATCATATTAGATAGACTACGGAAATCCGAACTAGGGAAATTGTTGTATCTAATGTTATGCTCAGTATCGTTTATCTTCAATAAAGATAACGTTTTATAGATGCTATTTGATATTTGACGTGAAATTACTTGAGAAGACTCATAAAAGGAAGAATATACAATTATAGTGGCGCCCAACGTGGGGCGTACAATTTCGATCCTCCCGCTGGAAACATTCATTTCTAGGGAATGAACCAGAATTCAAATTCATTTTATTTTCAGCAAAATTTCAGGACTAGATACTTTGTTTATACCTTGAACCATCCAGCTGCAGCAGTCCCCCAAGATGATTTTTGGTAGGATTTTACACCAGAGTCCTCATCCCAATTAACACCGCCAACGTGATTCGGATCGGTAATTGCACTGACCATGTACGAGGTATAATGATTGAGAGCTATGAAATCGTAGGTATCCTTGATTAACGCTACTTCTTCCTCTGAAAATGGTGGCAAGCGAGATTCGTTGAAGCCCTGCGCCTTGCTAAATCTGGCAATGTTATCAATCATTACTTGTGGCCAGTTTCCTTTAATGACGGGATTAGCGTACATGCCGTACTGAAAAACAAAAAAAAATTATTTTATAAGTTTCAATGGTTGGTTTTTGTTTAAAAATGAAAATACTCATTCTATAAAGAATTATACCCTTACCACAAATTGTCGTTTTGTTTCGGCAGCAACAGCATCTGCTTCACTATACGAAGTAGGTTCGTACCAATCAGAATCGATGACGATGGTGTTTCTGCCTGAAATTGTTAACCATATATATGAGTAATGTAAGGATAAACATCAACAACTCACTCTTCAAGGTGGCTCTGAACTCTCTATCAAAAACCCTCCAAGCTTTCGCGTGTGCAAGCAGAACATGTCTAGCGCAAACGTATTCGCCTATTCCGGGAGATGGTTTTGCCGGTGCAAATCCTCCATTGCCGTATCCACTGTGACAAATCTGCTTAGGTTCGTTGATGGTTACCCAAGACTTCACATATTTGCCGAAAAGTTTGTAGCAGAGACGGGCGTAGTCCACAAACCAGTCTACAACTTTGGGATTCAGCCAACCTGAGATAAATGAAGAAGTAATGTATTTCAGTTGGAACAATGTACAAAAGATAATTAGGGATATCTATTTCAACAGGTTAGGCTGCCTAACATGCTCATTTCTAATGTCGCTTTACTAGTATTGATGAGCCAAGAGGCATAAAATATCCTTGGTGTAAACACATACGGTGCCCATGTAAAATATTTTGTCAAAACCTCCCGACCTACGCCAATGAAGAAATAATGGAGATCCTATAAGTTTCAGCCTCCCATTCATAGAGTTCACTTAAAAGTGACGCTGTTTGACAATTGGTACTTCAATTTTCAATGTTATTTACATTTCAAGCACTTCGATAACTATCTCACCGATAGAAGATATTGGGTTGAGTATCTTTCAAATTATGTTTCATAAATTTAAGATCTGAATAAAATACGAGCGACAGATTTCGATTTTTGCTCCATTTATCAACATGTAAACAAAGTTGGGTTTTAGACAAAACTGTTGGTAATTGAAAATGCAACACACCCTGTATTGTACATCAATTATTTATTTTCAGTTATTGTTTGACATTTTGTATGTATATGAATGACTGTCAGATAAAAGTTCATCATAATATATATAAATTATTGATATGTTCAATATAACGTTTAGAAGTAACTCAGGCTTATTGTAATTACACTTTTGCACTGCCCTCATTGCATTTCCAACAAAAACAATAGCGAATGGGTTGAACACCAGGGTTTCTATTCATTTTTCGACGAGCCTACATTAATGTACTATCACAGTACAATAATACAACCAGTGGGATATCTTGAAAGAAGTGAAAGTGGACTTATACTGGTTGATTTTTACTATGGCACTATGATGAACCGATAGTGCCATGGCATTTAGTAACGGTATTCTAGTAATTTGCTTACAGTATTAGACGGCGGAAGCATTACTGAAGATATCATCAAAATCAATTAAATAGAAACAAATTTTACGTTCGATTTATATTTTACTTTCGCCCCAGATACCTGTACTTATATAAGGTAACAGCTCATTTTTCATCTCTAAAAAAAATTGAGGATTGACATACCCACTAATAGGCTAGATAATTGTTGAGAACGTTTATAGAGCCCCCTGTATATTCTTTCAAAAACAAAATTTAAGAAACAGTAACTGTATACCTTTATTGATAAGTTAATTCAACTGTCTATTAAACCCTAACCTTCAAAAGGAACGTGTTTAAATTTCTTTTAGTTTGAAGAAAATGGATGAAAAGAAATCTAGTGTGTTAATGCAGCATTGTTTTTTGGCAAAAGGAAATACTGTTGAAGCCAAAGTTTGGCTTGATAAACATTATTCGGACTTTTCACCAGGAAAAACAACCATTGACGAGTGGTTTGCTAAGTTTAAACGAGGTGAAATGAGCACTTTTTCCAAACACCAGGAAACTTATGTCACTTGTCTCATAAAATATACTATAATGCAGGTAGAGACTAGAAGTACTCTGATATTAATAAAAATTCCCATAAATCTTTGAATATCTTGAGAATAAAATATGGAAATGATTTATTGATAATCACACATAAAAACGTTATCGAAACAATGGATGGATTACTTCAATGACGCATGCTGAAAATTAATTCTGAGATTGGAAGTTGTAGATAGTACCTACATATCAATTTTTTTTAATTTTAGAATCGCAACTGCTAACCATCAACGTGTAATCATTATGAACTTTATGATATCATAACGAACAAAAAATTTATATACGAGACAATCTGCCTTGTCTTCAAAAATATGGTATTGTTTAACAACTTGGACGCGCCAATGTATCAAACCAGGCAAAGATTCAGCTTTAAATTACCGCTGCCTTCTTCGTCGCTAGTTAAAGATTCCATTATTTACAACGGTCTTAAAATGTTCAATCACCTTCCTCAAGCTATAAGAACCATAAATGACCTTAGAGCTCTTAAGAAAGAGTTGAAAGACTTGCTCTCTGGGAGACCTTATTATAGCTTAGCAGAATTCTATGATGATAATTTTAATTGAGAAGACTAACTGTGATATCTACGGTATTTTATTGATTTCATTTCATTCAATTTAGTTTAAATTGATTTATTTACATTTTGTTGGCCATGTTCTTATATCCTGAACGTTTGTTATTATTTACATGTCTCTTTTCAGTTCATGTTATAACCTACTTTTAGTGATTTTACTTTTGTGATTTCATGTATATGTTATTTAAACCGAAAATAGGATTGGGAGATGCCATATCTGCCCCAGATCTCGTGAAAAACATATAAGGAGATTTTTTTGACGTTTAAGGGAATCATGTTCCAGATTATCTCGGAACAACTTGGGTGCTCCATGCCAAAATACAATAAAGGCGAGTTCATATTAGAACGATGGCGATAATATTTTTGCGATTCCGCAAATTTGGTCCAATTGTCAAAATACCCTGTTCATGTTGAAGCGGGCAATATCTAGGGATTTTATTGTTGAATTTTAAATGTTATTACATAAACCTGAATAATGGCATACGAACACCGACATGGTTATGTCGATGCATACGACTCATACGAATTACGACTTTCAAGACCAGACCCCATTATATCAGAAAATAGGACTAACAATTTTCTCAAGTTTTGTTTAATAGGAGCGTGTCTTCAAACCACTTATCTTAACGTTACTGCCAACTCAAGTGCAGGAGCGAGGGGTTCTTTTGCAAAATGAATTTTCTGTACTAAAGGGCCAACCAAATTCAATAATTTATTGAATAATGGGAGAGTCAGCCTGAAATAGTTGAAATATTTCTCTGAATCACTAATTCTCATTTCAGCCACAAGGTTGTGATATTCTCCATATTTTCTTCTGTTTTTGAAAATATTTCTCACGCCATAACGACGGGGTTTTCTCAATGAAGCTTTATATATACGGTAAAGTTGATATAATTTGAACAACCTGACACATTCGTCCATTTCGGATTCAATTTTGATGTATGGGCTTGAAAAACCACAGTCAAATAAATTAGCAATATAACCTAATTGCATGTTGACGTATAAAATTTTGCGGATATCGCAAAAAAGTTCAATTTTTTCAACTTTTTTACGATAAACACGACGCCATTTTAAATCGCACTTTTTATGCGATGTTCGTTCCAACATGAACTAGCCCTAACTGACATTGAAACGTTGAATGAGTTATATGCACATTTGTACAAACCGTGTTTGGATGCATCTTTAGAGCCGTTCTATTCATCATTCAGCGGTTTCGGAGAAATAACTTTGACAAATTGGCATGGAGCAGCCGAAGTTATGTCAAGTGTGACATGAGATACCAGAAAAATATATGGAATGACAAATAAATTACCTCCTTGGTTTTCCAGAGCTGTTGGTATATCCCAGTGGTACAAAGTGACCATAGCTTCGATTCCGTTAGCTTCAAGCTCCTTAAATACTCTTACGTAATAGTCTACTCCCGCTTGATTTATGTTGTTAACAGTTCCGTCAGGCAGAATCCTGGACCAAGCAATCGAAAACCTGGAAACAATTTAGAAAAATGTCCATGAGTGAACCTAATTTGAACCCAACTCCTTACCTGTAATAATTTACTCCAACTTCTTTCATTGCAGCCACGTCCTCCTTATAGAAGTGATAAGAATCACTGGCGACATCACCATTAGCTCTACCTGCAAATCTTTCAGGATGCTCGTGAGCGAATGTATCCCATACCTGCTCTCCTTTGCCGTCAAGGTTCCAGGCGCCCTCAATTTGATAAGCAGCAGTTGCTACTCCAACTGCAATATGTTTAGGAAGGATTCGTTTAGTTATTGTGTAGTTGGCGAATTCATCGTCACCGTCGCCCACACTGAAAAAGAAGATACATTTTGAAAGTGTACTACTTTTGACATGACCTCATAAGAAAAAGTCTGATGACGTCAGATTAGGGAATCGCGCTGGTCATTCCATTGATCCTAGCCTCCCTTAGAGAAATTCAATTTAGGTACTGCCTGCCCAACATTGAAATGGTAACGAGGTTGTGTTCCATCTAGTTGAAACCATATCATATTCGCTGAAATTTGTGGATATTAGTTTGTCAGAGCTGAAAGGACATATTGCGCATGTTCTTCTCTCATTTAGTTTGTATTTATCCCAGACTAAGAACGGCAATTTTGATGATTAGCATGACCCTGAAATGTACACTTCTTAAAACAAAACATACTCTAATTGGATCCATTGTTATCTAACATTGCTCCATATCAATACATCGTTCACGCTGAATTTGCGAGACGGTGAAACAATTTCTCAACATAATAATAATAATAGTGAAGTGGACTCGGGAGGAGCTGTATCAACTCGACGTAAAGACCCGAAAAATGATGCAACTCTATAGGAGTTTGCATCCCAAATCGTCCGTTCCACGGTTGTACTTCCCCCGACAACAGGGAGGCCGTGGACTTTTGAGTTTGGAGTGTCTACATGACAGAATGGTACTGGATACAGCCTGTAAAGTCGTCAGCAGTTCGGATCCCCTTCTCTGCATGGTCCGTGACCATGAGAGAGCAGGAATTGCAGCATTTCTCTTCAGGGCAGCTGCCCAAGCAGCTGATGAACTCGGTATAGTTTTCGACACTGAACGAGGTGACCACTACTCTGTCACCGAGTTGGAACCCGTTCAGCAAAAAGCTCATATAAAAGCCGCAGAGATCACCTCACTTCTGCGGAAGCACAAGGATAAGTCAATGAATGGGTCTTCTTCAATAACATTGGAGACCTTGGGTTATCAAAGCGCCTGACGTTCGCTTTCCTCAGGTCGAGTGTGTTGAAGTCAGAAACTGAGGGGTTCATCATTGCTTGCCAAGATGGTGTTTTCAACACATCAGTCTACCGCAGTCGCGTGATGGGTATAGAGGTTCCTGACACGAAGTGCAGGGCCTGCCGCGAGGCGCCTAAGACCCTAATGCACTTGCTATAAGCGTGTCCAGCATGTGCGGTCTCGGCCTATATCCATCGATACAACGCGGCCCTAAAAGTGCTATATTACCATCTACGGCACTCTCACGGTATTGACGAGACACCGGTGTTGCCCTGCGCTCCGGGGGATATTGAATCCGTTGTGGGGAACGAGAAGTGCCGAATTTATTGGAACTATTAGTTCCCCACCCTCAGGCTCATACAAGTTAATAAGCCTGATGTAGTCCTTCTCGACCACCAGAGCAAAACGATATTTGTCGTGGAGTTTTCAGCTCCTAGCGAGATGAATATCGTCCGAAAAGAGGAGGAGAAACGGATAAAATATCGAGATTTCCTCTTCGAACTCCGCAAACTCTATCCAGATAACTCTGTCAAGATGGTTGTTCTGATTATTGGAGTCCTTGATGAAATGATGTCCTCTCTACTCTCGAATCTCAAAATCATACCGGCTTGCCGCACTAAGGCAGAAATTGACGTTTCGCCATCATCTCAGATGGCATTATCAAGACGAGTTACTGCTTCGCTTCGAGAGGTGTAACTGATGTTAGGTTCTTCTTGTGGTGTTTTTATACGGATGAACACCCGGAAAAACAACACATCATATTCTACCATCCGTGAAAACCTACATTGTAACACTATAGTTCAACGCCGAAATTTTGTATCAACATGGTTGTGTACATGTTGTGTTTGAAAATATTATCAACACTTATTTAATAGACATATAAACATATATACTTCTTTATAATATTACATAAATAAACACACCCACTGTACCAAGCACTGTACCAATCAAACATTTATATCCAAAGAAGAATATAAACAAAAATTTTACATAACCTAAATTCAAATGTGCACATTTTGTCACGTAAATTTATCATTATAGAACTCTTGCAAATTACAATAGGGTCTATCAGCTGAAAATGTGTTTACTCTCATTCTGAACATTTTGTTGGTCAAATTTGCCTGTCTAAAATCTTTTGATCAACTAAGTACTGATGAATTGCATACTCCCCAAAACGGTATTCCATAACGTAGGTGGGATTCAACGAGGGCGTAATATAGCGTTCTGGCAGGTTTGGTTCGCAAATTTATTGAAGTTACTCTCACTGCATAATATCCAGAACAAATTTTACTTTTAAGTTATTTGATATGTTCAATAAATTTGAACATATTGTCAATGTGAATACCTAGAAATTTAGATTGGGTCTCGTTCTTGATCACTAAGTTATCACCAAATGACAGGTCATCAAGAGCACATCTGAATGCTAAAATGTTTGTTTTAGTTATATTGAAGGATAACAAATTAGCATCACCCCACTCCTTGATTATTTTCATATCAGTAGATATTGCATTGTGAACCTAAATGTTTCTACGTGATTGCGGCCTGCCTGAATGACTCATTTGTGAAGCCGAAGTTAAAAGGAAAGGTCATTAATGAAAATTATGGATAGGAGAGGCCCCAGTACATATCCTTGTGGAATACTGTTAAAAACATGCTCTAAATTAGATATTCTGTTGTCTCCACTGGTTTGACATATTGTTTTTGATTGAATAAATATGACCACTTTCACAAGACCATATAACATATTTTGATATAACAGTCGAGATTCTAACATCGACTCTCTGAGAGGTATTTAGACGGATCTTCATAAAGGCTAGCTATGATCGTTATCAACATAACATTTAACTGACTGTCCGTGAATTTTGCTATATGCGCTGTCAGAAATTCGACTTTGTTTCCTTGTAAAAGATAAAACTTTAAGGAAACTCCCTTTCTGTGAGAAAGAAGTATTTNGTATTAATATAATTTGGAAAAAAAATTCCCCACTATGGATGGAAAGTAACCACTTTTCAATCAGTCACAATATGAAAGAAAATAAAATGTCATCTTCAAACATTAAATGATCTGAAAATTCAATACACATAATGAAATGAAAAGATTACTGAAGAACAGGAATTTTTTTAATGTCAAGTCATAGCCTTTCTTACCTTCCGGAAATCGAAACAAAAAATATAACTAACAAATAGGACAGCTTCATCCTCGATTATTTCCAAAAAACTACTGTTTCAATGAAAACTCATTCATTATATATACGAAATTTTCAACCTAAATTGATTAACGAATGAAAAATAAAAAACAAAATACTTGAGATAATCAACATTTCAATTAATTGAACGGTTGTCATGACAAATATCTAGTTTTATATCATCACCTAGCAACTGGAAATTCACGAAAAACTTGCCTCTCAGGTATGCAGTATCATTTAATTTTTATTCCCCAAAAATTTGAACTGTGTACAGATTTTCATTTGTGTGACATCAACTTGTGAGGAGGCCCCAATGAAAGAAAAGTTTTGATGGATTGATATTTGTCTTGGGATTCAACTCCCCCTGGGAAGACACTGACTAAGAAAAATAAAGAGTAATATCAAGAAAATTTAAAATCAGAATTCCTAGATATTACAATTACTCTTTACCAAGTGAAAAATATTTTCCAAGTGCAAAGTTTGGTTGGTTAACGAGAGAAGCGAACTCGTTTCCCAGGGAATAAATTTGCGGCAAGTAGGATGGCCAACCAAGTCAAGCAGGCCATCATTGATCACCGGAACGAAAGGTGGGAGGAGCTCTTGAAATCCTTTGAGCCTGGGAATGACGAGCTATGGCGAGTCACCCGCAGACTCAAGGTGAAGAAGACTGCTCCCTCATCCATTCACGGAGAGCGCGGAGTGTGCTACTCCCCCGCCGACAAAGCGTTAGCCTTTGCCGACTCGATGGAATGTCAGTTTCAACTTAACGTCGACGACAACGATGACATCGATCGCGATATGCTGCTGGAAGATCGGGCTCACCGCATCCTCAGGGAAGATGATGATGATAACATCCATCCGGCTTCTGTGGAAGAGCTGAAGGGGTAGACAAGCTGAAGGCTCCCAGAGAACTGCGTCGAGAACCTTCTGAACATAATAAACAGTTCGTTGGCCCTCAGATACTTCCCCTGAAGGTGAAGGTGAACCCGTTGTTCCCACAGAACTATCGCCCGATTAGTCTGCTTTCATCAGCGGCTAAGCTGGCTGAAAGAGTCATTCTGCAAAGGCTCAACGAAGACGTTGAGGACCGAAATGTTCTGCCTAACGAACAATTTGAATTCAGGAGAGTTACAGGCTCTGAGACTGGTCGAAAATACCATCCAAGAGCTAAACCACAATCGTAAAGTTCACGTAGTCTTTTGGACATCTCGAAGCCTTTGACCGTGTTTGGCACGAAGGCCTTCTACACAAATTAGACGCGTTCGACCTGCTTCAGGGACTGATTCGGTGGATCGGGTCCTTCCTGAAAGACAGAACTTTCCAGGTCAGAGTAGAGGGCTCCCTGTCTGACAACAGAGAGATCCTCGCTGGGGTACCACAGGGGGCTGTGCTCTCTCCCACGTTATATTCGCTCTATACGAGCGATCTCCCGAAGTCCGAGCGTGTGAAGGTGTCTCTCTACGCCGATGACACGGCTCT